AGGAGCAACGGACCCACTGGCGACTGGTGCAACAGGCTCACTGGCTACCGAAGCAAGGGCGACGGACTACAGGCGCTGCAGGCGACACGACAGCTATCTCCACACAACCTCCTCCAACTGACCCACACCCTTGACACACACCCCCTGCTGAACCCCTAACTCCACTCCCACGTCACCCCCCTAGCACCACTCCTTCGGCTCCCACACACCCACCCCCCTGAGCGGCAGCTGCAGCAGCGGGAGATGGAGGAGGAGGAGGAGCAGGGGACGGCGCACACAACCGGCACCCCAACAACCGTCACCCCCACACTCCCCACCCCCAAACCCTAAAACGGGTGGCACGGGGTAGGAGCGCGGGGGACGGCGAGGGGGACGACGCGCGTGCTCCCCAGGGCGCCACCACGGGGCAACGAGGGGCCGAGCGCGGCTCCAGGGGTGGCGCGCGGCCCCCAGGGCGCCACCACGGGGCAGCGAGGGGCCGCGCGCGGCTCCCCAGGGCGCCGCGACGTGAAGGGCGGGGGCCGCGCGTGCTCCCCAGGGCGCCGCGACGTGAAGGGCGGGGGCCGCGCGTGCTCCCCAGGGCACCACCACGGGGCAGCGAGGGGCCGCGCGCGGCTCCAGGGGTGGCGCGCGGCCCCCAGGGCGCCACCACGGGGCAGCGAGGGGCCGCGCGCGGCTCCCCAGGGCGCCGTGAAGTGAAGGGCGGGGGCCGCGCGTGCTCCCCAGGGCGCCGCGACGAGCAGGGCGGGGGCAGCGCGTGCTCCCCAGGGCACCACCACGGGGCAGCGAGGGGCCGCGCGCGGCTCCAGGGGTGGCGCGCGGCCCCCAGGGCGCCACCACGGGGCAGCGAGGGGCCGCGCGCGGCTCCCCAGGGCGCCGCGACGTGAAGGGCAGGGGCCGCGCGTGCTCCCCAGGGCGCCACCACGGGGCAGCGAGGGGCTGCGCGCGGCTCCAGGGGTGGCGCGCGGCCCCCAGGGCGCCACCACGGGGCAGCGAGGGGCCGCGCGCGGCTCCCCAGGGCGCCGCGACGTGAAGGGCGGGGGCCGCGCGTGCTAACCAGGGCGCCGCGACGAGCAGGGCGGGGGCCGCGCGTGCTCCCCAGGGCACCGCCACGGGGCAGCGAGGGGCCGCGCGCGGCTCCAGGGGTGGCGCGCGGCCCCCAGGGCGCCACCACGGGGCAGGGAGGGGCCGCGCGCGGCTCCCTAGGGCGCCGCGACGTGAAGGGCGGGGGCCGCGCGTGCTCCCCAGGGCGCCGCGACGAGCAGGGCGGGGGCCGCGCGTGCTCCCCAGGGCGCCACCACGGGGCAGCGAGGGGCCGCGCGCGGCTCCAGGGGTGGCGCGCGGCCCCCAGGGCGCCACCACGGGGCAGCGAGGGGCCGCGCGCGGCTCCCCAGGGCGCCGCGACGTGAAGGGCGGGGGCCGCGCGTGCTCCCCAGGGCGCCGCGACGAGCAGGGCGGGGGCCGCGCGTGCTCCCCAGCGCACCACCACGGGGCAGCGAGGGGCCGCGCGCGGCTCCAGGGGTGGCGCGCGGCCCCCAGGGCGCCACCACGGGGCAGCGAGGGGCCGCGCGCGGCTCCCCAGGGCGCCGCGACGTGAAGGGCGGGGGCCGCGCGTGCTCCCCAGGGCGCCGCGACGAGCAGGGCGGGGGCCGCGCGTGCTCCCCAGGGCGCAACCACGGGGCAGCGAGGGGCCGCGCGCGGCTCCTGGGGTGGCGCGCGGCCCCCAGGGCGCCACCACGGGGCAGCGAGGGGCCGCGCGCGGCTCCCCAGGGCGCCGCGACGTGAAGGGCGGGGGCCGCGCGTGCTCCCAAGGGCGCCGAGACGAGCAGGGCGGGGGCCGCGCGTGCTCCCCAAAGCGCCACCACGGGGCAGCGAGGGGCCGCGCGCGGTTCCAGAGGTGGCGCGCGGCCCCCAGGGCGCCACCACGGGGCAGCGAGGGGCCGCGCGCGGCTCCCCAGGGCACCGCGACGTGAAGGGCGGGGGCCGCGCGTGCTCCCCAGGGCGCCGCGACGAGCAGGGCGGGGGCCGCGCGTGCTCCCCAGGGCGCCACCACGTTGCAGCGAGGGGCCGCGCGCGGCTCCAGAGGTGGCGCGCGGCTCCCAGGGCGCCACCACGGGGCAGCGAGGGGCCGCGCGCGGCTCCCCAGGGCGCCGCGACGTGAAGGGCGGGGGCCGCGCGTGCTCCCCAGGGCGCCGCGACGAGCAGGGCGGGGGCCGCGCGTGCTCCCCAGGGCGCCACCACGGGGCAGCGAGGGGCCGCGCGCGGCTCCAGGGGTGGCGCGCGGCTCCCAGGGCGCCACCACGGGGCAGCGAGGGGCCGCGCGCGGCTCCCCAGGGCGCCGCGACGTGAAGGGCGGGGGCCGCGCGTGCTCCCCAGGGCGCCGCGACGAGCAGGGCGGGGGCCGCGCGTGCTCCCCAGGGCACCACCACGGGGCAGCGCGCGGCTCCAGGGGTGGCGTGCGGCCCCCAGGGCGCCACCACGGGGCAGCGAGGGGCCGCGCGCGGCTCCCCTGGGCGCCGCGACGTGAAGGGCGGGGGCCGCGCGTGCTCCCTAGGGCGCCGCGACGAGCAGGGCGGGGGCCGCGCGTGCTCCCCAGGGCACCACCACGGGGCAGCGAGGGGCCGCGCGCGGCTCCAGGGGTAGCGCGCGGCCCCCAGGGCGCCACCACGGGCCAGCGAGGGGCCGCGCGCGGCTCCAGGGGTGGCGCGCGGCCCCCAGGGCAGCGAGGGGCCGCGCGCGGCTCCCCAGGGCGCCGCGACGTGAAGGGCGGGGGCCGCGCGTGCTCCCCAGGGCGCCACCACGGGGCAGCGAGGGGCCGCGCGCGGCTCCAGGGGTGGCGCGCGGCCCCCAGGGCGCCACCACGGGGCAGCGAGGGGCCGCGCGCGGCTCCCCAGGGCGCCGCGACGTGAAGGGCGGGGGCCGAGCGTGCTCCCCAGGGCGCCGCGACGAGCAGGGCGGGGGCCGCGCGTGCTCCCCAGGGCACCACCACGGGGCAGCGAGGGGCCGCGCGCGGCTCCAGGGGTGGCGCGAGGCCCCCAGGGCGCTACCACGGGGCAGCGAGGGGCCGCGCGCCGCTCCCTAGGGCGCCGCGACGTGAAGGGCGGGGGCCTCGCGTGCTCCCCAGGGCGCCGCGACGAGCAGGGCGGGGGCCGCGCGTGCTCCCCAGGGCGCCACCACGGGGCAGCGAGGGGCCGCGCACGGCTCCAGGGGTGGCGCGCGCCCCCCAGGGCGCCACCACGGGGCAGCGAGGGGCCGCGCGCGGCTCCCCAGGGCGCCGCGACGTGAAGGGCGGGGGCCGCGCGTGCTCCCCATGGCGCCGCGACGAGCAGGGCGGGGGCCGCGCGTGCTCCCCAGGGCGCCACCACGGGGCAGCGAGGGGCTGCGCGCGGCTCCAGGGGTGGCGCGCGCCCCCCAGGGCGCCACAACGGGGCAGCGAGGGGCCGCGCGCGGCTCCCCAGGGCGCCGCGACGTGAAGGGCGGGGGCCGCGCGTGCTCCCCAGGGCGCCGCGACGAGCAGGGCGGGGGCCGCGCGTGCTCCCCAGGGCACCACCACGGGGCAGCGAGGGGCCGCGCGTGGCTCAAGGGGTGGCGCGCGGCCCCCAGGGCGCCACCACGGGGCAGGGAGGGGCCGCGCGCGGCTCCCTAGGGCGCCGCGAAGTGAAGGGCGGGGGCCGCGCGTGCTCCCTAGGGCGCCGCGACGAGCAGGGCGGGGGCCGCGCGTGCTCCCCAGGGCGCCACCACGGGGCAGCGAGGGGCCGCGCGCGGCTCCAGGGGTGGCGCGTGGCCCCCAGGGCGCCACCACGGGGCAGCGAGGGGCCGCGCGCGGCTCCCCAGGGCGCCACGACGTGAAGGGCGGGGGCCGCGCGTGCTCCCCAGGGCGCCGCGACGAGCAGGGCGGGGGCCGCGCGTGCTCCCCAGGGCACCACCACGGGGCAGCGAGGGGCCGCGCGCGGCTCCAGGGGTGGCGCGCGGCCCCCAGGGCGCCACCACGGGGCAGCGAGGGGCCGCGCGCGGCTCCCCAGGGCGCCGCGACGTGAAGGGCGGGGGCCGCGCGTGCTCCCAAGGGCGCCGCGACGAGCAGGGCGGGGGCCGCGCGTGCTCCCCAGGGCGCCACCACGGGGCAGCGAGGGGCCGCGCGCGGCTCCAGAGGTGGCGCGCGGCCCCCAGGGCGCCACCACGGGGCAGCGAGGGGCCGCGCGCGGCTCCCCAGGGCGCCGCGACGTGAAGGGCGGGTGCCGCGCGTGCTCCCCAGGGCGCCGCGACGAGCAGGGCGGGGGCCGCGCGTGCTCCCCAGGGCGCCACCACGGGGCAGCGAGGGGCCGCGCGCGGCTCCAGGGGTGGCGCGCGGCTCCCAGGGCGCCACCACGGGGCAGCGAGGGGCCGCGCGCGGCTCCCCAGGGCGCCGCGACGTGAAGGGCGGGGGCCGCGCGTGCTCCCCAGGGCGCCGCGACGAGCAGGGCGGGGGCCGCGCGTGCTCCCCAGGGCACCACCACGGGGCAGCGAGGGGCCGCGCGCGGCTCCAGGGGTGGCGCGCGGCCCCCAGGGCGCCACCACGGGGCAGCGAGGGGCCGCGCGCGGCTCCCTAGGGCGCCGCGATGTGAAGGGCGGGGGCCGCGCGTGCTCCCCAGGGCGCCACCACGGGGCAGCGAGGTGCCGCGCGCGGCTCCAGGGGTGGCGCACGGCCCCCAGGGCGCCACCACGGGGCAGCGAGGGGCCGCGCGCGGCTCCCTAGGGCGCCGCGACGTGAAGGGCGGGGGCCGCGCGTGCTCCCCAGGGCGCCGCGACGAGCAGGGCGGGGGCCGCGCGTGCTCCCCAGGGCGCCACCACGGGGCAGCGAGGGGCCGCGCGCGGCTCCAGGGGTGGCGCGCGGCCCCCAGGGCGCAACCACGGGGCAGCAAGGGGCCGCGCGCGGCTCCCTAGGGCGCCGCGACGTGAAGGGCGGGGGCCGCGCGTGCTCCCCTGGGCGCCGCGACGAGCAGGGCGGGGGCTGCGCGTGCTCCCTAGGCACCACCACGGGGCAGCGAGGGGCCGCGCGCGGCTCCAGGGGTGGCGCGCGGCCCCCAGGGCGCCACCACGGGGCAGCGAGGGGCCGCGCGCGGCTCCCCAGGGCGCGGCGACGTGAAGGGCGGGGGCCGCGCGTGCTCCCCAGGGCGCTGCGACGAGCAGGGCGGGGGCCGCGCGTGCTCCCCAGGGCGCCACCACGGGGCAGCGAGGGGCCGCGCGCGGCTCCAGGGGTGGCGCGCGGCCCCCAGGGCGCCACCACGGGGCAGCGAGGGGCCGCGCGCGGCTCCCCAGGGCGCCGCGACGTGAAGGGCGGGGGCCGCGCGTGCTCCCCAGGGCGCCGCGACGAGCAGGGCGGGGGCCGCGCGTGCTCCCCAGGGCGCCACCACGGGGCAGCGAGGGGCCGCGCGCGGCTCCAGGGGTGGCGCGCGGCCCCCAAGGCGCCACCACGGGGCAGCGAGGGGCCGCGCGCGGCTCCCCAGGGCGCCGCGACGTGAAGGGCGGGGGCCGCGCGTGCTCCCCAGGGCGCCGCGACGAGCAGGGCGGGGGCCGCGCGTGCTCCCCAAGGCACCAGCACAGGGCAGCGAGGGGCCGCGCGCGGCTCCAGGGGTGGCGCGCGGCCCCCAGGGCGCCACCACGGGGCAGCGAGGGGCCGCGCGCGGCTCCCCAGGGCGCCGCGACGTGAAGGGCGGGGGCCGCGCGTGCTCCCCAGGGCGCCGCGACGAGCAGGGCGAGGGCCGCGCGTGCTCCCCAGGGCGCCACCACGGGGCAGCGAGGGGCCGCGCGCGGCTCCAGGGGTGGCGCGCGGCCCCCAGGGCGCCACCACGGGGCAGCGAGGGGCCGCGCGCGGCTCCCCAGGGCGCCGCGACGTGAAGGGCGGGGGCCGCGCGTGCTCCCCAGGGCGCCGCGACGAGCAGGGCGGGGGCCGCGCGTGCTCCCCAGGGCGCCACCACGGGGCAGCGAGGGGCCGCGCGCGGCTCCGCAGGGCGCCGCAACGTGAAGGGCGGGGGCCGCGCGTGCTCCCCAGGGCGCCGCGACGAGCAGGGCGGGGGCCGCGCGTGTTCCCCAGGGCGCCACCACGGGGCAGCGAGGGGCCGCGCGCGGCTCCAGGGGTGGCGCGCGGCCCCCAGGGCGCCACCACGGGGCAGCGAGGGGCCGCGCGCGGCTCCCCAGGGCGCAGCGACGTGAAGGGCGGGGGCCGCGCGTGCTCCCCAGGGCGCCGCGACGTGCAGGGCGGGGGCCGCGCGTGCTCCCCAGGGCGCCACCACGGGGCAGCGAGGGGCCGCGCGCGGCTCCAGGGGTGGCGCGCGGCCCCCAGGGCGCCACCACGGGGCAGCGAGGGGCCGCGCGCGGCTCCCCAGGGCGCCGCGACGTGAAGGGCGGGGGCCGCGCGTGCTCCCCAGGGCGCCGCGACGAGCAGGGCGGGGGCCGCGCGTGCTCCCCAGGGCGCCACCACGGGGCAGCGAGGGGCCGCGCGCGGCTCCAGGGGTGGCGCGCGGCCCCCAGGGCGCCACCACGGGGCAGCGAGGGGCCGCGCGCGGCTCCCCAGGGCGCCGCGACGTGAAGGGCGGGGGCCGCGCGTGCTCCCCAGGGCGCCGCGACGAGCAGGGCGGGGGCCGCGCGTGCTGCCCAGGGCGCCACGACGGGGCAGCGAGGGGCCGCGCGCGGCTCCAGGGGTGGCGCGCGGCCCCCAGGGCGCCACCACGGGGCAGCGAGGGGCCGCGCGCGGCTCCCCAGGGCGCCGCGACGTGAAGGGCGGGGGCCGCGCGTGCTCCCCAGGGCGCCGCGACGAGCAGGGCGGGGGCCGCGCGTGCTCCCCATGGCGCCACCACGGGGCAGCGAGGGGCCGCGCGCGGCTCCAGGGGTGGCGCGCGGCCCCCAGGGCGCCACCACGGGGCAGCGAGGGGCCGCGCGCGGCTCCCTTGGGCGCCGCGACGTGAAGGGCGGGGGCCGCGCGTGCTCCCCAGGGCGCCGCGACGAGCAGGGCGGGGGCCGCGCGTGCTCTCCAGGGCGCCACCACGGGGCAGCGAGGGGCCGCGCGCGGCTCTGCAGGGCGCCGCGACGTGAAGGGCGGGGGCCGCGCGTGCTCCCCAGGGCGCCGCGACGAGCAGGGCGGGGGCCGCGCGTGCTCCCCAGGGCGCCACCACGGGGCAGCGAGGGGCCGCGCGCGGCTCCAGGGGTGGCGCGCGGCCCCCAGGGCGCCACCACGGGGCAGCGAGGGGCCGCGCGCGGCTCCCCAGGGCGCCGCGACGTGAAGGGCGGGGGCCGCGCGTGCTCCCCAGGGCGCCGCGACGAGCAGGGCGGGGGCCGCACGTGCTCCCCAGGGCGCCACCACGGGGCAGCGAGGGGCCGCGCGCGGCTCCAGGGGTGGCGCGCGGCCCCCAGGGCGCCACCACGGAGCAGCGAGGGGCCGCGCGCGGCTCCCCAGGGCGCCGCGACGTGAAGGGCGGGGGCCGCGCGTGCTCCCCAGGGCGCCGCGACGAGCAGGGTGGGGGCCGCGCGTGCTCCCCAGAGCGCCACCACGGGGCAGCGAGGGGCCGCGCGCGGCTCCCTAGGGCGCCGCGACGTGAAGGGCGGGGGCCGCGCATGCTCCCCAGGGCGCCGCGACGAGCAGGGCGGGGGCCGCGCGTGCTCCCCAGGGTGCCACCACAGGGCAGCGAGGGGCCGCGCGCAGCTCCAGGGGTGGCGCGCGGCCCCCAGGGCGCCACCACGGGGCAGCGAGGGGCCGCGCGCGGCTCCCCAGGGCGCCGCGACGTGAAGGGCGGGGGCCGCGCGTGCTCCCCAGGGCGCCGCGACGAGCAGGGCGGGGGCCGCGCGTGCTCCCCAGGGCGCCACCACGGGGCAGCGAGGGGCCGCGCGCGGCTCCAGGGGTGGCGCGCGGCCCCCAGGGCGCCACCACGGGGCAGCGAGGGGCCGCGCGCGGCTCCCCAGGGCGCCGCGACGTGAAGGGCGGGGGCCGCGCGTGCTCCCCAGGGCGCCGCGACGAGCAGGGCGGGGGCCGCGCGTGCTCCCCAGGTCGCCACCACGGGGCAGCGAGGGGCCGCGCGCGGCTCCAGGGGTGGCGCGCGGCCCCCAGGGCGCCACCACGGGGCAGCGAGGGGCCGCGCGCGGCTCCCTAGGGCGCCGCGACGTGAAGGGCGGGGGCCACGCGTGCTCCCCAGGGCGCCGCGACGAGCAGGACGGGGGCCGCGCGTGCTCCCCAGGGCGCCACCACGGGGCAGCGAGGGGCCGCGCGCGGCTCCAGGGGTGGCGCGCGGCCCCCAGGGCGCCACCACGGGGCAGCGAGGGGCCGCGCGCGGCTCCCCAGGGCGCCGCGACGTGAAGGGCGGGGGCCACGCGTGCTCCCCAGGGCGCCGCGACGAGCAGGGCGGGGGCCGCGCGTGCTCCCCAGGGCGCCACCACGGGGCAGCGAGGGGCCGCGCGCGGCTCCCCAGGGCGCCGCGACGTGAAGGGCGGGGGCCACGCGTGCTCCCCAGGGCGCCGCGACGAGCAGGGCGGGGGCCGCGCGTGCTCCCCAGGGCGCCACCACGGGGCAGCGAGGGGCCGCGCGCGGCTCCAGGGGTGGCGCGCGGCCCCCAGGGCGCCACCACGGGGCAGCGAGGGGCCGCGCGCGGCTCCCCAGGGCGCCGCGACGTGAAGGGCGGGGGCCGCGCGTGCTCCCCAGGGCGCCGCGACGAGCAGGGCGGGGGCCGCGCGTGCTCCCCAGGGCGCCACCACGGGGCAGCGAGGGGCCGCGCGCGGATCCAGGGGTGGCGCGCGGCCCCCAGGGCGCCACCACGGGGCAGCAAGGGGCCGCGCGCGGCTCCCTAGGGCGCCGTGACGTGAAGGGCGGGGGCCGCGCGTGCTCCCCAGGGCGCCGCGACGAGCAGGGCGGGGGCCGCGCGTGCTCCCCAGGGCGCCACCACGGGGCAGCGAGGGGCCGCGCGCGGCTCCAGGGGTGGCGCGCGGCCCCCAGGGCGCCACCACGGGGCAGCGAGGGGCCGCGCGCGGCTCCCCAGGGCGCCGCGACGTGAAGGGCGGGGGCCGCGCGTGCTCCCCAGGGCGCCGCGACGAGCAGGGCGGGGGCCGCGCATGCTCCCCAGGGCGCCACCACGGGGCAGCGAGGGGCCGCGCGCGGCTCCAGGGGTGGCGCGCGGCCCCCAGGGCGCCACCACGGGGCAGCGAGGGGCCACGCGCGGCTCCCCAGGGCGCCGCGACGAGCAGGGCGGGGGCCACGCGTGCTCCTTAGGGCGCCGCGACGAGCAGGGCGGGGGCCGCGCGTGCTCCCCAGGGCGCCACCACGGGGCAGCGAGGGGCCGCGCGCGGCTCCAGCGGTGGCGCGCGGCCCCCAGGGCGCCACCACGGGGCAGCGAGGGGCCACGCGCGGCTCCCCAGGGCGCCGCGACGAGCAGGGCGGGGGCCACGCGTGCTCCCCAGGGCGCCGCGACGAGCAGGGCGGGGGCCGCGCGTGCTCCCCAGGGCGCCACCACGGGGCAGCGAGGGGCCGCGCGCGGCTCCAGGGGTGGCGCGCGGCCCCCAGGGCGCCACCACGGGGCAGCGAGGGGCCGCGCGCGGCTCCCCAGGGCGCCGCGACGTGAAGGGCGGGGGCCGCGCGTGCTCCCCAGGGCGCCGCGACGAGCAGGGCGGGGGCCGCGCGTGCTCCCCAGGGCGCCACCACGGGGCAGCGAGGGGCCGCGCGCGGCTCCAGGGGTGGCGCGCGGCCCCCAGGGCGCCACCACGGGGCAGCGAGGGGCCGCGCGCGGCTCCCCAGGGCGCCGCGACGTGAAGGGCGGGGGCCGCGCGTGCTCCCCAGGGCGCCGCGACGAGCAGGGCGGGGGCCGCGCGTGCTCCCCAGGGCGCCACCACGGGGCAGCGAGGGGCCGCGCGCGGATCCAGGGGTGGCGCGCGGCCCCCAGGGCGCCACCACGGGGCAGCGAGGGGCCGCGACGTGAAGGGCGGGGGCCGCGCGTGCTCCCCAGGGCGCCGCGACGAGCAGGGCGGGGGCCGCGCGTGCTCCCCAGGGCGCCACCACGGGGCAGCGAGGGGCCGCGCGCGGATCCAGGGGTGGCGCGCGGCCCCCAGGGCGCCACCACGGGGCAGCAAGGGGCCGCGCGCGGCTCCCTAGGGCGCCGCGACGTGAAGGGCGGGGGCCGCGCGTGCTCCCCAGGGCGCCGCGACGAGCAGGGCGGGGGCCGCGCGTGCTCCCCAGGGCGCCACCACGGGGCAGCGAGGGGCCGCGCGCGGCTCCAGGGGTGGCGCGCGGCCCCCAGGGCGCCACCACGGGGCAGCGAGGGGCCGCGCGCGGCTCCCCAGGGCGCCGCGACGTGAAGGGCGGGGGCCGCGCGTGCTCCCCAGGGCGCCGCGACGAGCAGGGCGGGGGCCGCGCGTGCTCCCCAGGGCGCCACCACGGGGCAGCGAGGGGCCGCGCGCGGCTCCAGGGGTGGCGCGCGGCCCCCAGGGCGCCACCACGGGGCAGCGAGGGGCCGCGCGCGGCTCCCCAGGGCGCCGCGACGTGAAGGGCGGGGGCCGCGCGTGCTCCCCAGGGCGCCGCGACGAGCAGGGCGGGGGCCGCGCGTGCTCCCCAGGGCGCCACCACGGGGCAGCGAGGGGCCGCGCGCGGATCCAGGGGTGGCGCGCGGCCCCCAGGGCGCCACCACGGGGCAGCAAGGGGCCGCGCGCGGCTCCCTAGGGCGCCGTGACGTGAAGGGCGGGGGCCGCGCGTGCTCCCCAGGGCGCCGCGACGAGCAGGGCGGGGGCCGCGCGTGCTCCCCAGGGCGCCACCACGGGGCAGCGAGGGGCCGCGCGCGGCTCCAGGGGTGGCGCGCGGCCCCCAGGGCGCCACCACGGGGCAGCGAGGGGCCGCGAGCGGCTCCCCAGGGCGCCGCGACGTGAAGGGCGGGGGCCGCGCGTGCTCCCCAGGGCGCCGCGACGAGCAGGGCGGGGGCCGCGCGTGCTCCCCAGGGCGCCACCACGGGGCAGCGAGGGGCCGCGCGCGGCTCCAGGGGTGGCGCGCGGCCCCCAGGGCGCCACCACGGGGCAGCGAGGGGCCACGCGCGGCTCCCCAGGGCGCCGCGACGAGCAGGGCGGGGGCCACGCGTGCTCCCCAGGGCGCCGCGACGAGCAGGGCGGGGGCCGCGCGTGCTCCCCAGGGCGCCACCACGGGGCAGCGAGGGGCCGCGCGCGGCTCCAGGGGTGGCGCGCGGCCCCCAGGGCGCCACCACGGGGCAGCGAGGGGCCGCGCGCGGCTCCCCAGGGCGCCGCGACGTGAAGGGCGGGGGCCGCGCGTGCTCCCCAGGGCGCCGCGACAAGCAGGGCGGGGGCCGCGCGTGCTCCCCAGGGCGCCACCACGGGGCAGCGAGGGGCCGCGCGCGGCTCCAGGGGTGGCGCGCGGCCCCCAGGGCGCCACCACGGGGCAGCAAGGGGCCGCGCGCGGCTCCCTAGGGCGCCGCGACGTGAAGGGCGGGGGCCGCGCGTGCTCCCCAGGGCGCCGCGACGAGCAGGGCGGGGGCCGCGCGTGCTCCCCAAGGCGCCACCACGGGGCAGCGAAGGGCCGCGCGCGGCTCCCCAGGGCGCCGCGACGTGAAGGGCGGGGGCCGCGCGTGCTCCCCAGGGCGCCGCGACGAGCAGGGCGGGGGCCGCGCGTGCTCCCCAGGGCGCCACCACGGGGCAGCGAGGGGCCGCGCGCGGCTCCAGGGGTGGCGCGCAGCCCCCAGGGCGCCACCACGGGGCAGCGAGGGGCCGCGCGCGGCTCCCTAGGGCGCCGCGACGTGAAGGGCGGGGGCCACGAGTGCTCCCCAGGGCGCCGCGACGAGCAGGGCGGGGGCCGCGCGTGCTCCCCAGGGCGCCACCACGGGGCAGCGAGGGGCCGCGCGCGGTTCCACGGGTGGCGCGCGGCCCCCAGGGCGCCACCACGGGGCAGCGAGGGGCCGCGCGCGGCTCCCCAGGGCGCCGCGACGTGAAGGGCGGGGGCCGCGCGTGCTCCCCAGGGCGCCGCGACGAGCAGGGCGGGGGCCGCGCGTGCTCCCCAGGGCGCCACCACGGGGCAGCGAGGGGCCGCGCGCGGCTCCAGGGGTGGCGCGCGACCCCAGGGCGCCACCACGGGGCAGCGAGGGGCCGCGCGCGGCTCCCCAGGGCGCCGCGACGTGAAGGGCGGGGGCCGCGCGTGCTCCCCAGGGCGCCGCGACGAGCAGGGCGGGGGCCGCGCGTGCTCCCCAGGGCGCCACCACGGGGCAGCGAGGGGCCGCGCGCGGCTCCAGGGGTGGCGCGCGGCCCCTAGGGCGCCACCACGGGGCAGCGAGGGGCCGCGCGCGGCTCCCCAGGGCGCCGCGACGTGAAGGGCGGGGGCCGCGCGTGCTCCCCAGGGCGCCGTGACGAGCAGGGCGGGGGCCGCGCGTGCTCCCCAGGGCGTCACCACGGGGCAGCGAGGGGCCGCGCGCGGCTCCACGGGTGGCGCGCGGCCCCCAGGGCGCCACCACGGGGCAGCGAGGGGCCGCGCGCGGCTCCCTAGGGCGCCGCGACGTGAAGGGCGGGGGCCACGAGTGCTCCCCAGGGCGCCGCGACGAGCAGGGCGGGGGCCGCGCGTGCTCCCCAGGGCGCCACCACGGGGCAGCGAGGGGCCGCGCGCGGCTCCAGGGGTGGCGCGCGGCCCCCAGGGCGCCACCACGGGGCAGCGAGGGGCCGCGCGCGGCTCCCCAGGGCGCCGCGACGTGAAGGGCGGGGGCCGCGCGTGCTCCCCAGGGCGCCGCGACGAGCAGGGCGGGGGCCGCGCGTGCTCCCCAGGGCGCCACCACGGGGCAGCGAGGGGCCGCGCGCGGCTCCAGGGGTGGCGCGCGGCCCCCAGGGCGCCACCACGGGGCAGCGAGGGGCCGCGCGCGGCTCCCCAGGGCGCCGCGACGTGAAGGGCGGGGGCCGCGCGTGCTCCCCAGGGCGCCGCGACGAGCAGGGCGGGGGCCGCGCGTGCTCCCCAGGGCGCCACCACGGGGCAGCGAGGGGCCGCGCGCGGCTCCAGGGGTGGCGCGCGGCCCCCAGGGCGCCACCACGGGGCAGCGAGGGGCCGCGCGCGGCTCCCCAGGGCGCCGCGACGTGAAGGGCGGGGGCCGCGCGTGCTCCCCAGGGCGCCGCGACGAGCAGGGCGGGGGCCGCGCGTGCTCCCCAGGGCGCCACCACGGGGCAGCGAGGGGCCGCGCGCGGCTCCAGGGGTGGCGCGCGGCCCCCAGGGCGCCACCACGGGGCAGCGAGGGGCCGCGCGCGGCTCCCCAGGGCGCCGCGACGTGAAGGGCGGGGGCCGCGCGTGCTCCCCAGGGCCCCGCGACGAGCAGGGCGGGGGCCGCGCGTGCTCCCCAGGGCGCCACCACGGGGCAGCGAGGGGCCGCGCGCGGCTCCAAGGGTGGCGCGCGGCCCCCAGGGCGCCACCACGGGGCAGCGAGGGGCCGCGCGTGGCTCCCCAGGGCGCCGCAACGTGAAGGGCGGGGGCCACGAGTGCTCCCCAGGGCGCCGCGACGAGCAGGGCGGGGGCCGCGCGTGCTCCCCAGGGCGCCACCACGGGGCAGCGAGGGGCCGCGCGCGGCTCCAGGGGTGGCGCGCGGCCCCCAGGGCGCCACCACGGGGCAGCGAGGGGCCGCGCGCGGCTCCCCAGGGCGCCGCGACGTGAAGGGCGGGGGCCGCGCGTGCTCCCCAGGGCGCCGCGACGAGCAGGGCGGGGGCCGCGCGTGCTCCCCAGGGCGCCACCACGGGGCAGCGAGGGGCCGCGCGCGGCTCCAGGGGTGGCGCGCGGCCCCCAGGGCGCCACCACGGGGCAGCGAGGGGCCACGCGCGGCTCCCCAGGGCGCCGCGACGTGAAGGGCGGGGGCCACGCGTGCTCCCCAGGGCACCGCGACGAGCAGGGCGGGGGCCGCGCGTGCTCCCCAGGGCGCCACCACGGGGCAGCGAGGGGCCGCGCGCGGCTCCAGGGGTGGCGCGCGGCCCCCAGGGCGCCACCACGGGGCAGCGAGGGGCCGCGCGCGGCTCCCCAGGGCGCCGCGACGTGAAGGGCGGGGGCCGCGCGTGCTCCCCAGGGCGCCGCGACGAGCAGGGCGGGGGCCGCGCGTGCTCCCCAGGGCGCCACCACGGGGCAGCGAGGGGCCGCGCGCGGCTCCCCAGGGCGCCGCGACGTGAAGGGCGGGGGCCGCGCGTGCTCCCTAGGGCGCCGCGACGAGCAGGGCGGGGGCCGCGCGTGCTCCCCAGGGCGCCACCACGGGGCAGCGAGGGGCCGCGCGCGGCTCCAGGGGTGGCGCGCGGCCCCCAGGGCGCCACCACGGGGCAGCGAGCGCGCGGCTCCCCAGGGCGCCGCGACGTGAAGGGCGGGGGCCGCGCGTGCTCCCCAGGGCGCCGCGACGAGCAGGGCGGGGGCCGCGCGTGCTCCCCAGGGCGCCACCACGGGGCAGCGAGGGGCCGCGCGCGGCTCCAGGGGTGGCGCGCGGCCCCCAGGGCGCCACCACGGGGCAGCGAGGGGCCGCGCGCGGCTCCCCAGGGCGCCGCGACGTGAAGGGCGGGGGCCGCGCGTGCTCCCCAGGGCGCCGCGACGAGCAGGGCGGGGGCCGCGCGTGCTCCCCAGGGCGCCACCACGGGGCAGCGAGGGGCCGCGCGCGGCTCCAGGGGTGGCGCGCGGCCCCCAGGGCGCCACCACGGGGCAGCGAGGGGCCGCGCGCGGCTCCCCAGGGCGCCGCGACGTGAAGGGCGGGGGCCGCGCGTGCTCCCCAGGGCGCCACCACGGGGCAGCGAGGGGCCGCGCGCGGCTCCAGGGGTGGCGCGCGGCCCCCAGGGCGCCACCACGGGGCAGCGAGGGGCCGCGCGCGGCTCCCCAGGGCGCCGCGACGTGAAGGGCGGGGGCCGCGCGTGCTCCCCAGGGCGCCGCGACGAGCAGGGCGGGGGCCGCGCGCGGGTTTCCAAGGTAGGAAACCGCCGGGCGCCTCGGGGCGCACGGCGGGCAGAAAACCGCCGCGCGCCCCGAGCGCACGGCAGACAGAAAACCCGAAAAAAAAAAAAAAAATCGCCGCGCGGAGCGCGCGGCAGGAAGAAGGAGTCGAAAACGCCACGGGGCGTGCGACAGACAGAGTAGCAGCGAAAGCAGTTAGGTGGGCCCACAGGCCAGGAGCGTAGATGCTCTGATAGCATGTGAGAATAGTAAGCACAGTGAGGAGCCATAGCTAGGGTTTAGCTATCTAGGCAAGAGAGAAATGAGCAAAGGAGGGGTTTCACTAGCAGCAGTTGGGATACATATAGCAAACCCTAACTGGGTTGTACCCGCTATAGAGCACCCCACTACAGGCTAGATAATAACATTCTGACACGGACCCGTTCTTCTCGACTGGGAATCATCAGCAGGCCACGTCGCAGAAAGGGGATTATTACGTAAAAGCCGGAACCGACCGGATTTGGGTTCCCGCTTACAGGCTGTTGCGTGAACTCCTTATCCAAGAGGTCCACGATTCGAACTTCTCCGGACACTTCGGGGTTGATCAAACCCAAAAATTACTGCACCGTCAATATTACTGGCCTGATTCGTCTAACGACGTGCAGCGATATGTGTCCTCATGCAGGGTGTGCCAAGCCATGAAATCGACACGTCAACGACTAGCTGGGCTGCTGCAACCCCTCGAGCCACCCGAACGACCGTGGCAACAAGTGACAATGGATTTTGTCACGGGGATGCCAGCTGGGCCGTCCGGCAACGACGCTGTACTCGTCGTCGTCGATCGCTTCACGAAAATAGCGCACTTCGCCCCATGCCGAACAACAATCACAGCCGAAGAAACTGCGCGTCTCTTCATCTCAACGGTCGTGCGACTGCATGGCATCCCTTCGGCGATCATCAGCGACCGAGACCCGAAGTTTACATCAAAATTCTGGAAGGAGACATGGGCGCAGTACGGCACAAAACTATAGTTCTCATCGGCATATCACCCACGGACGGACCGCCAGACCGAGCGAACCAACCAAACCATGGAGCAGCTTATCAAGACAAACTGCCCCGACCCTGCCCGCTGGGAAGACTCGCTCGCCATGTTGGAGTCGTGTCTGGTCCGCGTTCAAGATGAGGTCGAGCGGGTAGTCGTGTAGAGAGCGCATCTGGCGCACAAACTCCCAGAAGGACTCCACCTTGGCCTTGCAATCTACAAGCAAAGCCACGAGACACATTAGCTCTCCATGAGATGGTGGTCAAGGAGCACCACGGCGCAACACTTACCCGCTGCCAACTTCTGTCCCATCTTCGTCTTCACCCGCCTCGCCAGATGCCAGCGCGCGCGGAAACGAGTTGCCCAGTGGAACGATGCGCACCAGTTGACCCCGGGCATCCGGTGCTTCATGTACTTGGCGCTCCACTTCTGGAGCATGTTGACCGAAACGGCGAGCCCCCTCCCCCGGGGCTTCAGGAACTGGCGATAGACCGCCCGTTCCATGAAAGGGTACTTGGACTTGCAGCCAGCTCCCATGAGGCGACGGCGGCAGCTGGAAGCGACCTCCAGCCGCTCCCTCATCTTCTTCCAATCGCGGATCTGGCATGGCTGCACCTTCGCAAGCTTCGCCAGGGCGCGATTCGACAGGTCGGGCTGCGAGTCCTGCAGCTTCAACCAGTGGAGCTTCTCCTTCGCGGTGATTGCATTGCGCTGGCGTTTCGTCATCCGATGGCGAGGGGATGGCGCGTCAGCATCGGCGTTGCGCTTTGGCTGTCCCTACGAGCGGTTACGCTCCGGGAACGTGGGGACTGTCAGAGGTCCACTGGTGGTCCTCGATTGATCCTAGGGAAGGGTTACAGGCTCGTTGTCCTGGGGGGTTATGGGCGCACTGATCCGCTACTTAACAAGCCCTTTTATAACAATGGTCTAGTGGTTGGGATTCTGACATGGTATCAGAGCGAAGGTCTCGGGTTCGAATCCCGGTGTGTGCACTTCCGGCATCCCAGTGCGGGGGGGTGTCAGAGGTCCACTGGTGATCCCCGATTGATCCTAGGGAAGGGTTACAGGCTCGTTGTCCTGGGGGGTTATGGGCGCACTGACTCGCTACTTAACAAGCCCTTTTATCCCAATGGTCTAGTGGTTGGGATTCTGACAGGGACAACCACTCGAGGAAGGGTAGGGCGAGGACGGTCCGAGCTACTGCTCGGTTCATCCCTGATAGAAGCACTACTGGGAGCATCCGGCTAAGGCAAGATCGGACGAGGAGACGTCCGTGCGCGTGCAGCAGCGCTAGTCTGATTGGTGGAAACAGGCCGCTGCCGCCTATCTACCGTACTGCTAGAATCTGGAGATGAAGCCAACTTGGGAACTAAGGCAGGTCGATGTCACTCGCCATGGGAGAAATGACTTTAAAGTCGATACCTCGTGCACAGGAAGGAGACGCTCTCACAGCCTGCCGAGCACTTGTGAAAGACGTGCACTGGAACCGCTTCACAAAGAGAATAGCAAGCAAACCCTTGTGAGGAAGCCTGGACGTGACTACTGTACACGCTAGTCAAGGGGTCACAGGTACACTGACAACACAGCACCGTGCGCGATTCCGGCCTCGTACTGCATGAAACCAAGCTGCGCGAGGTTGGCACTGATATCAACCTATCAGGTGTCACAGTGGGCCCACTGGAATTTGCCATGTGGCAGATTCCAGTGGAGGCCGACATTATCCTCGTAAACGCGGTTTGGCTGCCCTGAACAAAAAGATAATAGTAAGGCCAGACCCCTGTTTTTGTTTCCATTCATTTCAGCTTATAAAAAAATGTGCAATATAATAAGACCCGGGTATTACGTATTTTGGTCCTCTGAGGAGGCCCCCCCCCCCCCCCCCCCCCCATTTTTTCCCTGTATTTTTAGAGCGTGTTCCTAACCTCGTATCAAGATAACCTCGTATCAGGCTCACAATGAAAATTCCCCTAAACCCAAAACCTCTCGCTAGTTTTACCAGGCAAAATAACATGCTTAATACGAGGTTTACTGATATGAGGCTGTAGGAACACGCTCTCAGCTATACCCTAGGGTGTTATATCTGGGAGAATACGGTATCAGTTAATCATAATCTTGTTATTCGTTTACCTGCGCACTCCCTATTACAACTCATAACAGATTTGCTAGCTGGTATGGTATTGTGTTTTGCGAGCATTGTGAAATCAACATTTTCAGAAGTTGGGATCCTAGGGGCTAGTGGGTAAGCAGTGCAAGTAACATGATTTTGCTAAATTGACCTGTAATTTTTGCCATGCCTGCAAGTGCACCAATCAAGCATCAACAAAAAATAAAAAGGCGGTGTATCCACTAACTCAACATGTGTAGCAGCATGACAAAAACTAAACACCACCTTGATACATTAATCAATGTTCCCAGCAGGAGTGTCACTTCACCTTTTAGTGTAATGCCACGTCTCCTACTGCTTCACTAATCTAGCTTACCAAGCCAAATCCACCGAACCCCCCTCCGATCTGTTCACTTGAAAACCCCAAGTTATACTTCCATTCCCATCCTCAAATTTCACTTCTTGACGAAGCCCAGGTTGTTGGCCTCAGCGTACCGCTCCATGAAGCGCATGAAGCGGTCCCATTCCCTCTCTGTGCGCATAATGTATTTCGCCTCGATGCCAGCTGGCTTGCCATTGATAAACTTGGCACTCACGTCCACCGTCTGCCATGGCAGTGGGGGAAAGAGGGGTGGGGGAAGACAGTGGAGTTGATTTCAGCAGTGCGTATTGCCGCCAGCTCGCACACTTCTAGCTGGTCTCAAGGATGGACACAAGGGGAGGATGCACAGAAATGTGTGGGGTGGCTGGCAGGTGCTCCATGAGGCGGCAAGCGGATTTCAAGGGTTTGTAGCAACGAAGCAGCAGAGGAGTAGTTAACGTGTGGTGGGATGACGAATGTGCAAAATCAGACAGGGAGACCAGTACTCGCTGGGCGTCTCAGGTGACTGATTCAGTTGCTAAGAGTACGAGCAAGACGAACGCTAAGAGAGCGGTATTCACCTGCAAGTCTCCCTCATCGTCGATGATGAAGAGCCCCGTGATGCCACCCAGGTCGCTGGGCATCTCAAGGGACTAAACAAGGGCGTATGATACAACCGTAAGCACGAAGGATGAGAGAAAGAGATTGTACCTGCAGGTCGCCCTCCTCGTCGATCATGAAGAGCCCCGTGATGCCACCCAGGTCGCTGGGCATCTCAAGGGACTAAACAAGGGCGTATGATACAACCGTAAGCACGAAGGATGAGAGAAAGAGATTGTACCTGCAGGTCGCCCTCCTCGTCGATCATGAAGAGCCCCGTGATGTCGCCCAGGTCGCTGGGCTGGTCGAACACTGACGGCTGCTCGAACACAAACGTCGCCGTGCCGCTGGTGCCGTCCCTGCAAGGGAAGGGAGCGGACGGAGCGGCCACGAGGGAGACACGGAGGGGAAAATATCAGTGTGATGCCAGAAGACCGCAGAGCAGGCCGAATACGAAGCTATGAAGCAGGACGCCAGTAACAAGACAGAGATGTGGTGGGGGGCGGCGAAACAGGAGTGAACGGGAAACGCTGAGGTTGGCTGGGCGAACAAGAACGAGAAGGTGCTACTAAGGGAGAAAAAGAAGGCGAAGCGACTGATGTCGGTTCGACACAACTTGAGGTGAAGTAGGCTACTGATTCATCGTGCCGTGCGGGTCGCAATGCGTACCGAGAAATGAGAAGTTGCTATTGCGCAACCGCGGGGCGTGGACGCTACATAACACTGAACATCACTGACTCGTGACCTGATTAACGCCTGGCACCCGATTCCGTGTGACACACGTCGACATTGAGCTTCATCACATCGTAAACGCACCTAGATCGCGTGAGTCGGACTTCGGGAATGGTTTGCTCGTTGACGCCGCGGATGAACTGCACGACGGCCTCGTCCACCACCACGAGCCTGAATGACACACAAAAGAGATTTAAGGAGAGGAGGGAAGAGAGAGATCGGAGAGGAAGGGGGTTGAGGAATGTACGCGCGTGTGCGTGCCTCAACAATGGTTTGCTCGTTGACGCCGCAGATGAACTGCACGACGGGTTCGTCCAACACGAGCCTGAGGGTCGCATTACGGTGGTGAGAAAACCAGGGGTGCGGGGAGAAGATTGGTCAGGTTACAAAACAAACCAAGTTTGCTCGTGGTAGCCGTGCATGAACTGCACGACTGCCGCATCCGCGGAAACAAGAATGAGAATCTATAAAAAATTAATGAAACTGAGAGTTGCATGGCCATTAATATTGGACGAGCGCAGTTGAAGGGGGAGACATAAAGAAGACGGGGGAGAGAAAGAGAGTGGAAAGGGAGAGGGCGGAGTGAAGGATGGAGAATGGGACAAGGGACACGAATGGGGTCAGGTAACGAGAATGGAAGGAAGACGGGAGGGAAGGCGGGGGAGGGGATGAGAAGGTTGCGAGTAAGGAGGGTGAGATAGGTGAAGGGACGGAGGATTGGATAAGCAAGGGGAAACTGGAGAGAAGAAGGTCAACTATACGATGATAAGAAAATCATTTTGAGAAGAATGGGAAATGACATCTCATATAAACCGTCATACCTCTCGGAGGATCGCTTGCTGACAGCGCAAACTGGAAGAGCCACAAGAGCATCGCCCTTGAACGACGATTGCAGGCTCAAGCGTGATCGGAGGGATGCGGATGCCTCGACGCCTGAGCATCTGCACGAGACCAGTTGGCTGGTTTGTCGCTTCTGCTGGGCAGAGACCGCCTTAGCGCCAGCTCCAGCGGGCGCTGACAGGACAGAGCGTGAAATGCAAGTGGTCGCCATTGTATTCTCTCGCTACAATTGTGTCTGCAAAGCGAAATGTTCAAGGGAAAGGCTAAGCAGGAACAAGAGGAACTTGTGAGAAAATGGTTGATCTTAAACAAGAACTTATGGACCAGTTGTATTGTATATCCGTCTGTGGGGGTGGATTTGTCAGGAGGGTTGGCTTTGCAAGATTTTGAAATGCCAAGAAGACAAGGATCCGTTCTAGTCGCCAAACCCTTGGAATTGCCACCGTGCGACTGTGCGATGTGCGAGTGGGTGGAATTGCCAGGGTCGCAATCTTGGTACTGGAACGTCGCACAAGCAGCTCAGTTGTCTGATGCATGGGCTGACGATACGACCTTGATGAGCTGGCCAACGGTTCTTGGTGACTGTGACTGAGCCACGTCAGAAGGCATGTGCGCTCCGTGGGATGGGGGCAGATCAAGAGAGTGACGCGTGGACAGGCGCGTGGCCCCATTCAGTTGTTTCCTCGGTGCGTGTGCGAGGCTCCACCACAGTTCGGCAAAAGGATCACCGAGATAACCCTAATGGGTCGACATGGTGGTTCTCCAATCTCCGAGATGTGCCACCACAGCACCGCGTCTTGCCAACAAGGAAGAACAGTTCGTGGAGGGTCGATGCCCACGAAGTTTCTCCAATCAGCTTGTCGCGTGGGTTGCGTTAGAAAGTTCGCTTTCTTAGGTGCAGGTATTCAACACCCGAAGTGAAGTACAAGCTGATCAATATAGATACGAATTGTTACAACCACCACATGGAATTCTAAGTACCAGTTGCAGGAAAATAATTTAGCCTATGGTATGTCCCTGGTTGGGATTTTTGTGCTGGAATAAATCTCAAGAAACAGACTCAATGTTGAAGGGTTTCTTCCAACAGACTTTCTCAATGATAAAATACAAACATCACAACAAACAAGCGCTTGTTACTGTTTTGCTGTGAACGAGGCACCACAGCCACACGATGAAGCAGAGTTGGGATTGCTGATCACCTGCAAACCAGGATAGGAGGACATAACAGCGTTACATACCACATGCATGGAATGCAATCTGGTGGAAAGCACGTACTTCCAATGTACTCACCTGAAAGGAAGAACGAATGAGTTCGTCAGTAAAGTCCACAGTGGCGCCATCCACAAAAAGCAGAGATACGTTGTCTACCACCAGCCTTACTCCGTCACGCTCGAAAATGCTGCACAGGAAATTGATGAGGGCAACTCAGCACAGGGGATTAGCAACAACTAGTCCGCCTCATCTAAGGGAAGAAAGAGATCATGGGGGTATTCTAAAGATGGGCTAACACTACACGCCCAGATTCCCCAGAAAAGGCCATTGCTTGAGAGGAGCTTACCTATCCTCAGCAGTGACCTTGTCATCCAGAGTGAAGATGTACTGGAACCCAGAACAGCCACCTCCCTCCACGGTCAGTCTTAAACACACGTCACGCCCTTCCTCTTTAATAATCTCAGCCAGTCTCTGCTCAGAAAGCAAACAGACAAAAGGTCCATCCAACACTCATCGCTTGGACTTCTCTTCGCCTGAGCTTAAACACAAAAAGCGACCTGAACTACTCAAAGACGTTGGTACTCATATGGTCACAAGACGAGCAGAGCATGAAAATACTCACTTCCGCGCATCTGTCGCTGAGGATCACCGTTTCCTGTGGCTTTTGCGTCTGTCGCACCACCTCACTGCTCATACGCCTCATCCCGCTAACTACCATCCTCGTGCCCGTTTCCTGGCGGACGCTCTGTACATTACAGGGTGGCGGGTGGTTCTGGCGTCCCAACAACGAAAACGAAGGTACGTGATAACGTCGTTGCAAGCACCCCACCGCAATCGAGCTGAGAGCTGGCAATTCTGCAGATCGGACGAAAGGCGACCGCGTATAATGTTCCCTTAGGGGTGCTGCGGCTGCTGCGGATCCTGCTGCGAGTGATGCACGCGCGGATTCCGCTACAATTGGTGCTGCTGCAAGCGACGTGCTATCCAGCGCTGCGCCTGATGCAGCTGCGAGCAACCTACGTGAGGCGGAAAGGACCCGCACGCTCCTCATTTCTAGCGCACTATGGATTGTACGGAAAGCAAAGAATTCGGAAAAAGACGCCACAGGAGCAAGAAGCGCACCCTCGGGCTCTTGCCGGGCTGCAGACAGAGACCACACCCCACGCGACGAACAGTTCGTGACGAGTTGCTTGCATACCTTCGATTCCTGAATGCCTGCACTGGAATGGAACGAAAGTGGGTTATGTTCGTGTATGTACGTGGTGCCCAAAGTGCTGTCTGCTCCGAGACAGGTCGGTACCCGTTAAGAGAGTATATGAACTGGAGAACACTTATGGTATGCATACAGAATATATTAAATGGAACCATGTATTTACTGTCAATGACTGAAATATGTGACTAAATAAGGAGGTTGCACCCTTCCATAGTCATGAAACAGCTATGGCTATAGGTTGTTTGCTTCGGAAATTCATACCTCCGGTCATTGGTCAAATGCCTTGAGATGTGGTCTGGAAGCCCAACAATAGGCAGTTCGTGTTGACAGACCTGGTTCGGCACCCTACACGAACCTGAGCTGAACTTGACGCTTTGCGATGCGAACTTCAGCTGCAACTCCCTGCTGGAGTGCTCATCCAGTCCACAGCAGCCAATGAGCAGCCAGTCTCATCCACAACAAATTCCGTTGCCATGCCATTCCATTCCATACACATTTCATGTCTCCCATTTCAGCAGTAGCCATGGCCAAAACCGTCTCATGGTTCCTCCAGATTTCATAAATTAGTGGTCGTATTTGTTATCTAGATTTTTGCAATCCGCTGTTTCCCTGAGGGTAGGTCTCGCTGCGTTCTTGCTGAGATCTGGCCGTTGCACACTTTAGCTTTCAACTATGAGTTCTGCGGGAGCGGATTCAGCTGTAGCGCCTGATGGAGCCGAGAATTCAAGGTAGGTCCCATGATCCGTTTGCTTGCTAGTCCTGCCTATGGCTTCATGGATCTCTGTAGTCTTAATCTCATCCCAATTTGGTTTCGAAACGACTTGATTTTGCTTTTCCTGCGACATGCATGAGCAGGGCTAGGAAGACGTACACAACCAGCCAGCTGCAGTCTCTCTCGGAGTTCCCAAGGTGCAAGGAACCGCCTTCAGGATTCGATCCGTCGCCATGGAGGTAAGCCGAGCGGAATCAGGGAGTGTTTCTGTTTTCTCTACTTCTTTCTTTAGTTCCTCCTAGCACCATTTTATGATGTACGATCCGGCAACCGTTGCAGATCCGGTATTTGTTTTCCACAGGATATCTGACAGCCCATTTTTTTCCGTTTCCAGGGTATTGATGCAGGGATTTGTTCCGGTCCCTCAAGGCGTTCATGGGCCACCTCGCCGCGACTGGAACAAGTACGCAGCCACGTCATTCTGTTGATCTTCCGTGAATTCTCTTCCTCATCTGCTTCGACCGAATGACTCGAACCTGCTTGTCATCTTCTGGTTCCGTCCAATCCCTCGTCGTTTGTTTCTGTTCCATCAACAAGTTCTGACTCTCTTCTCTTTCTCTCTCTCTCTCTCTCTCTCTCTCTCTCTCTCTCTCTCTCTCTCTCTCTCTCTCTCTCTCTCTCTCTCTCTCTTTCTCTCTAACCTTACGCTTGACTTATCAGCCAAGGCCGGTCACCACAGGCATACGAAGGGCCCGAATGGGGGAGAGACGGGCGGAGGTATCCCGGGGGAACCCCTCCGTACAACGGCCCGGGGCCAGGAGGCCGCGGCGGTGGCCGTCCGATCCTGGACAAAGCCGGAGGCAAATTTCCTGGCGATGGAGCTTTTCCCGCAGCCCCTGGCCAGCCTGGTCAGGTTCTGAACCGGACCCAAGGACAGGGCCAGATGCAGAGTCAAGGAGGGGAAGGTGTGGATCAGCGTGCGGGTGGTCGCGTTGTGCCTGGCGGTCTTCGCCCTCAGGCAGCCGGAGCTTCAATTGCAGGTGCAGCAGGTGCAGGTGGTGCTGGAGTTGGGGTTGGTGCGGGCCCGCCTGGGGAGAAGGAGCGTGCCGTCGTCACGAGGCTGCAGCCCGGCTGGAAGACAGGTGAGCTCGTCACGCCTTGTCGTCAAAAGTGAGACGTTTTTTCAGGCGCCTCAAAAGTGCGAAGCTTCTGTAACGTGCCGTCAATCAGTGGCAGTCTTCCAGGAAGACTGGTGAGCTCGTGACGCCACTGATACCGTCTGGTTTCCTCTCACAGGCTACTCGTTTTGTTTCCATGCAATTCCACCATTCGCCACTCGTGAAAGTCGGATCGCCGTAGGACTTTATCTGGTTCGTCTCGTTCTCCCACCTTGACTCTCCAACGTTGACGAATTCGTCTTTCTCCCTTGATTGTGACACACTACTTCTGAGTATTGCCACGTGAACAGACAGATGCATACCTACCCTATCCTACCTTCATGCCTCCCTACTCCGTCCAGACACGAATTCCCGCTCGCATTTCTTCGAGCAGCGTCCCTTTCCCGACCGAGCTCTTTCCACGGGCAACAACAGCAGCAGCACCAGCAGCAGCACCAGCAGCCAAGCAGGATGGAGCAAGGACTCTACCGGACCCTCCCCCTCCGCCTTTCCGTCGTCGTCCTCCGCCTCCTCGTCCACCGGTCCCCCTGCCAGCCGGGCTTCTGACGCGAGCAGCAGCTGGAGAGCAGGCGGCGCAGGGGGAGCAGGCGCAGGCGGAGGCGGAGGCAGAGGTGGAGGGGGGGGAGGAAGCGGAGGAGGGGGGAAAGCTGACGGCGCCGCTGCTGGTTCTGGCGGTGATTTCGGTCCTGGGACCAGACCGTACGGTGGTGCGTATGGTGCTCCGCATGCTGGTCCGCAGGGGGGATCGTACGGTAGACCATATGGCGCTGCCAGTAACGCGTATGGCCCGGATAAGCCCAGCAGTGACGGTGCTCCGCCAGTGTTTGAGGGGCCTGTCCCAGGGTATGGGCTTAGGAGCAGGTACCAGCCTGCGGGTATGCTTGGCAGGGGCGAGAGAGGAGGGGGAAGCGGGGGCGGCAGGGGGTGGGAACGAGGTGGAGGAGAGAGGGGAGGAGGGTATGGGCGGGGTTTGGGGGCGCGAGGATTTGGGGGTGGTATGGGGAGGGGAGGAGGTGGCGGTGATGGCGGATATGCTCCTGGTGCTGCCCCCAGACAGAGGCCACGAGGAGAGGATGACTCTGCACGCAAGGTGCGGCTTGCATGCAAGAGCTATGCAGAGCAGAGCACTTGTTTTGCTGATTGTTTTCACGCACGAAGCAACCAACCGCCTCGATTGTTCTGGTGATATGCGTGGTTGGTTGGTTGCTTCTCTCCATGCTTGCTTGCTTGCTTGTGTGCCTGCCTTCTTCCTTGCTTGCATGCTTGCTTGCATTCGTGCTTGTGTGCTTGTGTGTATGCATGCGTGCTTATGTGTATGTATGCATGTGTGCGTGCGTGCATGATTGCGTGAATGCAGCCGTACGTGCCGGGAGCGCCGCTGATGGTGGAGGACTCGTTCAACGACGAGACGTTTGGAGGGAGCAGCAGAGATGCCAGGCGGATGGAGGAAGAGAAGAGGCGTCGCGGTGAGCCCCATCGTTTCTCCAATCCCCTTCTCCCGTCCCAACGTCTCTCTTGACACTCTAATATTTTTTTTCCTGCGTTTTTGTCTCTCCACGCCTTTCCCTGTTGTGTTTCATTTTGTCTCTGATTACCCTCCCTCCCCTTCGTCCCTCTGTTCTCACCTTTCCTCTCGCTTGGCCTGCTTCCTTTCTTGCCAGTTCCCGTTCGTCACCCAATCTTCTGACGCGCCTGCCCTCTTTTACCCCATCCCTTCTTCATCCTTCTCTCCTCTCCTCCGTTTTCACCTCCCTCCTGCCTCCATCGCCCCGCCTTCCATCCAAGCAGAGGAGTTTGAGCAATTCCGCAGGGCGCAGCACCAGAAGCAGGCAGGCGGGCCACAACCACCGGGACCCCACGCCCTCTTTCCCCTCACCTCCACCACCACCACAGCCGCTACAGCTGCTACAGCCGCCACAGGCGCAGGAGCCCCTCACGCGGCCCCTCACAGGGCGCCGCTGTCTCAGGCAGAGCTGCAGCGCAGGAGGCACGACGAGGACTCTCTCTGGGACTCCCCTGCCCTCTCAGCGGAGCAGCAGGGGCGTTCCGCGTATCCAGACGACGCAGCAGCTGAGCAGGAGGACGAGTCAGAGCCCCTCGCATCGCCCCGTGCCACAGAGGATTCGGATCTGGATGTGAAGGATGTGCAGTCAGGGGGGGCATTGGCGGCAGGGCTGGCGCCGTCTGTGGCGGCGCTCATGGGCCTGGCGCCCGCAGCTCCGCCTGGCTTTCCCGCTGCTGCTGCGCTGGGGATGAATGCACCCGCTGCTGCTGCTGCTGCTGCTCCTGCTCCTGCTGGTGCGCCTGGGGTGGGTAGGTCTGCAGGTGGCGGAGGGGGCGAGGGAGAGAATCTGGTGGCGTGGCTGGGAGGGATCATGGCTGGAGCAGGCGCTGGTGCGGGTGCTGGTGCAGGCGCTGGTGCGGGTGCTGGTGCAGGCGCGGGTGTTGGTGACGGTGCTGGTGCTGGGGGAACGGTGGTGGCGCACTCTTTGAGTGGGCTTGCTCCTCCTGGGATCCCACCTGCCTCTGCGTCTCTCTCACTGGAAGACGTTGAGAGGGAGTTGCAGCAGTCAGCGCGTGGGGATGAACTCAAGGATCAATTCAAGGATCAATTCAAGGAAGACCGTGAGTGTGAGCCCAACACGCCCGCGGGCGTGCTTGTGTCGAGTGACGAGAGCGGTGGTGTTGACATGGGGAAGGGAGGAGGAGGGGAGGCAGGGCAGCGTCTCTCTGTGAGCGATCTGTTTGCTGGGTCTGGGTCTGGGTTGCTGTTAGCAGGGGCTGAGATCGCAGCAGGAAGAGGAGGAGGAGGAGGAGGGGACACGGTGGGTGGGTGGCCGGCATTGTCTGGACGTGTAGCTCTTGCGTCAGACCTCGAGGCAGATGCTGGGGTAGGCACATCTGGGATGGATTCTGCTGCAGCTGTGAACGATCCCGTTAAAGTCGATGCCATAGATGCTTCTGCAGTGAGAGTGGTGGTAAAGGCTCCCATGTCTCCCTCCCCCGCCCACCCTCCCATTCCTGAAGGGTCTACCTCCCCCAGCTGGTCCCTGCCTCCAGAATCATCCCTCTTCGGTCCCTCCCCAGACAAGCAAACCAGATTATCCGCAGAAGTAGAAGCAGCAGCGTTTACAGATGCCACAGCTGCAGCTGTTGCCCCTGACTTGCTGCTTGATCCCTCGTCTTCTTCAGCTGCCGAAGCCACTTCTGCTCTTTCCAAGCTGCTTGCTGGCAGTGGCAGCGGCAGCACCACCAACAGCAGTAGTGGCCCAGGCACCGGCACGGGCATAGGCAGCGGCGGCGCTGCTTTTCAGCAGCGCGGAATCTGGGGAGGGATGGGCTTTGGCGCGCTTTTGGCTGGGGGTGCAGCCGGCACCTCAGCGTTCTCTTCCGGTCAGGCCAGTCAAACCGGTCTTGACTGGTCGTCTGGGCCTCTTGGCTCCGCAACAGCAACGTGGGGGACAGTAGGGTCCGGGAAAGGGTTTATGGAGGGTACGGCAGGGAGGGAGTGGGGCAGTGCGGAGGGTTCTGCAAGCAAGAGTGGGGGGAAAGAGAACGGGTTTGACTCGTCTTTGACGTCTGCTGCTGCCGCTGCTGCTGCTGCGGAGGCTGCTGCTGGTGCTGCTCTGCTGTGGGGCGAAGGGGCAGAGGTGAGGGGGACACCAGAGGCATTGTTGGAGCTGATGCGAGGGGAGAAGAAGGGGCAGCAGCAGGCAGGCGGTGGTGGTGCTGTGATGGATGAGAGCTCTCAGGAGGGGTTGTCTGGGTTTGTCGGGAATGGAGTGGGAGTGGGAGTGGGAGGGGGAGGGAGGGAGGGCAAGGGCGGGAGTGGTGACCCATCGAGTGGAAATGGTGTGTCGCTTCTGACGCAGCTGTTCACGAATCCCAAGAGCTATGAATCGGTGCGTGGGTTGCTGAGTATGAGTCGAATCGTTGAGTCTTGTCGACCTTCTACTGACGGCCTCCAACCTCATGTTGTTGTCAAGCCAACAATGGAATCAAGAAGCTAACAGATAAGCCAACATATATCGGCCTGCTACTTTAATCGTTGGCTTCTCTGCACCCATCCCTGCTTCCTTGCTCTCCATTCACTGTTCTTCTTTTTTAACACAAGTGCTCTTTTTTGAAACGTCTCAAGTGGACCTGATTCTCTCCCATGCCCACTTGTGTGGTGCACTTGGTGCCATGTCTGTCCGTCTGTGGTGACTGGCAGAGCACATTGGGAGAGGGGGAGACGCTGGGGGCGAGGCTGGCAAGCATTCAGAGTACCCTGCACCATGCCACAGTTGCGCAACAGCCGGGTATGTCCCACTCGCTCCTGCCTCGAATCTTGAGTTGACAAAATCATTGTCTCATCAGACACTGGGGGCGAGGCTGGCAAGCATTCAGAGTGCCCTGCACCATGCTACAGTTGCACACAGCCGGGTATGCCTCACGCTTACTTGCTTTGTGAATCTTGGCTTTTGCCAGAGCCTTTTGCCAGACTTCTGCTTATGTCTGCAGTGTGATTTGCCCCTGCGTTCGTGCACCCTACCTGATTTCTCCTGCATTCACTCCTAGAACTTGACAACCACCATGACCAACGCCACTGGGAGGAATGTGAGCTTGGAAACCACTGTCAAGGACACCTATGTTGATGTTACTTCTGAGAATTCTCAAAAGTAACATCAACATCGCTTGGAAGCCACCGTCAAGGACACCAAAGATGGCTTGGATCGGGTGGGCCGATGATTTCTTAGGCGAGCCACTTTCGTAGCCGACAAGTATTTTGATTTGAGTCGACTCGTTTTGAGTTTATTCAAGATCGTGAGCTTGGAAACCAACTCAAAACGAGCTTGGAAACCACTGCCATCAAGTACACCAAAGATGGGTTAGAACCCCATGCGTTTCTCTTTTGAATCCCACAACCCGCCCCCCTCCTTCCCCCCCCCCCCCCCCCCCTCCCCCCCTCTCTCCCTCCCGGCCCCCCTTAGCAGGCAGGCAGTCAGGCATCCCTCTCCTCAGCCCACGATGCAGCAGAAATTGAGTCACTTTTAATGGCTCTCTCCCAGCAAGCTGCTCATTTCTCTCTCTATCACCCCTTCCCTCCCTACCCAATTCTTCTTTCCCCACTGGCCCCTTTGCAGGCACTCAGGCATCCCTCCCCTCAGCCCACGATGCAGCAGAAATCGAGTCACTCCTAGAGGCTCTCTCCCAGCAAGCTGCTCCGTCCGCTGCTGCAGCTGCAAGCGGCAGGGGAGCAATCTCTTCAGCTGCTGCAGCTGCTCCCACCTCTACCTCTGTGGTAACCAGCGTTAATACTAGTGACTGCAGCAACCGCGGTGGCAGCAGCGCTGGTGCAGGCTTTGGCAGTGGTTTTCAGAGCAGGAGCATACCCCTCTCTACCCTCTTTTCTCCCGATCAAGCCACACATTCAGCATCCGTGCCTATGGCTTCTCAACCTACAAGCACAAGAGGCAGCAGCACCGGCATTGACAGCACCACCGGTGGCAGCAGGCGCGGAAGGGCAGCAGCAGGGGTTTGGAACCAGGCCGGGCCAATGCACTCGCAAGAAATCCCACACGTGTACTCAGTGTCTGCTCCTCCGGAGCTTGGACCACCCTCCCGCTCGGCTGTCCCTCTGGTGCCTGTGCCACCCTCGTCAGGTCTGCCCGTACCTCTGCCCATGCCTGTGGGTCCGAGTCTGGAAGACATTGAGAGAGGGGGAGGCGGGACTGGTGGCGGTGCTGCTGGAATCTCCCTGCCGTTTCCTTTCCCCTTGTCCTCCCAGGGTCCTCCAGACCAGCTCGTGGAAGCAGAGCAAGGGGCAGGAGGGGGCTTAGGAGGGAGGGCAGGGGTGGGAGGTGGGGGCGGGTCGCTGCCATTCCCTTTCCCCTTGTCCTCCCAGGGTCCTCCAGACCAGCTCGTGGAAGCAGAGCAAGGGGCAGGAGCGGGCTTAGGAGGGAGGGCAGGGGTGGGAGGCGGAGGGGCGCCGCTGCCAGCGATGCCGTCGGCAGTGCAGTGGCAGAGCCTGGAGGAAATAGAGGCGTCACTGCTGCAGTCAGCAGAAGGGCAGGAGCAGAGGCAAGGGCAAGGGCAGGGGCAGGGGCGGGATGAATACGTGGAAGCTTCGAGCTCAGAAAACCCTCATGCGCCTGGTTTGGGGCAGCTGTTGGTGCCTGGACTGCTGGCTGCTGGTGAAGGTACGGGTCAAGGGGGGAATGGGTCTGGCAGTGGCGCGCCGGGAGGGGCCTCTGCTGCTTCTATGCATCTGCTGTCATTGCTGACTGGCGGGGCACAGGTAGGAGCGGGAGGTGGGACTGCAGGTGGAGGAGGAGGAGGAGGAGGAGGGGATGTTGGGGCAGAAGCAGCTGCAGGAGAGGCAGCTGATGGTTTTGTTGCGAGTACTGGGGGTTCTGTGGTAGTGCGGGCACAGGAGGGCAAGAGCAGTGCGACTAGTGGTGGCGACTGTAGCAACGGCTATGTGTGTGGGCATGAGGGCGTGTCTGGCAATGCAGATTCAGATGCAGATGCTGGTGTCGAGTCTGTTAGTAGGAAGAAGGAAAGGGCATCGCCTGTTGGTGCTCCTGCTTCAGCTAAGGAGGTGGCAGCAGTTGCTGCTGATAAGCAGATAGCACCTGGCGCTGGTGATAGCAGTGCAGCGTTTGTTGGTGATAAGCAGAGTGCAGCAGGCGCCGTTAAGCAGAACGCCACAGGCTCTGGTGTAGAGCAGACAGGAGCAGGTGCTTCTGAGACTGCAAATGCAGGTAGTAAGAGCGGGAAGGAGAAGGGTAATAAGGAAGCAGGCAAAGAGGCGGGTCAACAGCCCTCGTGTGAGGAGAAATTTGCTGTAGTAGCAAAGAGTTTGGCTGTAGCAGCAGATTGGACAGTCGATGGAGATACCTCACCAGCAGCAGCAGCAGCAGCAACCGCCGCAGCAGCTACAGCAGCAGGAGTAGAAGGGCGAGGGGGGGCGGAAAGAGATGGTAAAGGTTCGGTTGATGCGGTGCAAGGGAGGAAGGAGATGGCGAAGCAGGAGCCTCGGCAGCAGCAGGTGCAGAAGCCTGGTATTGTGAAGCGGTTGTTTGGGTTCTTCCAAAGCTCCCCTGCGCCTCCTGCACCACCTGCTGCTGGTTCTTCTGCTGCTGCTGCTGGGGCTGAGGAGGAGCCGAAGCATCCAGGGAAGGACACGTCTGTTGAGGATAGCAATGTGGAGAGGGATGAAAAGGGAGAGGAGTTTGTTCTGGGACACGAGAGCGATAGAAAGGAGGAGCAGGGGAAGGCTGCTGGTGAAGGGAACGCGTTGAGCAGCAGCAGTGAGGGTGTGGGTGAAAAGAAGGCAGTGGAGACTGACACTGGTGGGGTGCAGAGTGGTGCTGAGGCGGTACAGATGGGTGGAGAGGAAGGGGGCTTTGGGGGGCAGAAAGAGCAGGATGGAATGGCAAGCGTGCAAGATACAGGCAGCCAAGGAAAGCGATCGGGCAATCATAACACGGAAGAGCAAAACGAGAAGCAGCAGCAGATGCAGCAGCAGCGGGAACAGCAGCAGCAGCAGCAGCAGCAGCAGCAGCAGCAGCAGCAGCCTACCTCCCCTCCCTCGCTCCCAATGCCGTTCCCAGTGCACCCATCCATGTCCCCTTCTCCACAGCCCCATCCTCCCCTTATGCATTCTCTCCCGCACTTGATGCACCCGCCGCAATCCATGATGATGCACCCATTCTCGCAGCAGCCGCCTTTTACTGACATGCTTCAGAAGGCAGGTGATTCCCGCCCACATGCTGTGCCTGGTAGTGCCCTACCGCCCTGGCTCCCTGTCGAGCCAGGTCGACCTCCCGATTACCAGCAGCAGCAACAGGACCAGCAGCAGCACAACCAGCAGCAGCACCAGCAGCAGCAGCAGCAGTACCAGCAGCAACAGCAGCAGCAGCAGCAGCAGCAGGAGTACCAGCAGCAACAGCAGCAGCAGCAGAATCAGCAGCAGCAGCAGCAGCAACAGTTGCCTCCCCATGCACCTATCCAACAGCACCCAGGACTCATCTCCTCTCCCTTCCCGCCTGGCATGCCATTCCCCACCATCCCGCCGCCAGGTCTCCCCCCTCCTCCTGGCATGTACCCACATGCCATGCATCCCCATGCCAGAGGCCCATTCGCATTCCTGCCTCACCACTTATCTCCGCATCCCCCCAACCACTCTTCCGCCTCCCCTTTCTCCTCCCCTCCCCCGTTCCCTGGCGCCCACCCCCCTGACCGCCCCCTTCTGCACTTCTTCCCCCCCCCTGGCAATTCCCCCAGTCGCCTCCCCCATGGCCCCCTTCCCCCTCAAGAGTTCCCTCCTCACAGCATGGGTTCTGCACCGCACTCCACCGCCCCTCACCCCTCTCCACTTCATACTGTATCAGGAGCCAGCCGTTCAGTCCTGGAATCATCCCCCCCTCGTGAAGGTGACTCAACTGCTTTCAGTCAAGCAAGTCACGCAAGTCAAGGGGAGCGAGCAGGAGAGGGAGTAGGAGGAGGGGAAGGGGGAGCGGCAGCAGCAACAGGGGCGCTTCTTTCAACGCCGCATACCCAGCAGCATCCCCAGCAGAATTCCCAGCAATTCGCCTCACACTTTCTGCACACCCCACCCAGGCAGCAGCAGCAGCTTCAGCAGCAGCAGCAGCAGCAGCAGCAGCAGCAGCATCAGCAGCAGCAGCATCAGCAGCAACAGCAACAGCATCAGCAGTCTGGCGTTCAGTCTGCTCCTGCTACTCCAGGGCCCTCTCTACACACACCCCATGCACCCATGCCATTCGCCCATCCCCACAGCCCCTTCAACCATCACCACCCCCACCTGCTGCATCCCGCTCTGGCCTACTCTCCCGTCCGATCGCCCATGCATGCGCCCATGCACGCACCCGTGCCAATGCCCATGCCCATGCACATGCACATGCACATGCAGATACACCCTTCCATGCTGCCCCGTCCTGCAAGCCCCTCTCCCCCTCCCCACGCCTCTGCTCCCGCAGCACCCACTCATCTCCCCAGTTAGGCACATTGGAAAATGAGAACCCAGTGGAAAAGATCGTGTGTTATTTTCTTTTGATCGTGGAAACACAGCGAGCGGACTTACCTGGCCTCGTGGTCATGAGTCATAACCAATGTTTCCTTCTTGACCAGTTCCCTGCAGTGTTGTGCTGCATATCCAGCATCGCTGCATGTCCACCATTAAGACGCAGCTGATGTCTCGCCTGCTTGCCACGCTGCAGCATGGTTTGACTTGGAATTGCCTTGGAAGGGATTCTTGACATTTTGACTTGATTGTTTGAGCTCATTCTTCTTGCTCCTCGGAGCTGCCCGAATAACACAATTACTGTTTGTTCCCAAGCTTCCCCCATTCTCTCATTTGGATTGTTATTGATACTGACATATTATCTCTGTTACCTTCATATCCTCACAGGTTGGAATTGACATTTTCATGCGGGCCTGCGTTAGTGTGACACGTTCACTGGTCATGGCCTAATATTATATCAGCTGACCCATTCTATTGAATACAGGTGTTAGGTTAGTGTTTTCTTTTCTGCTTCAAAAAGTCAATGTACTACACTGCCCAAATTGTAGCAAGACCACTGCCCACCCATCCGTGTCCCATATTCTGGCCAGGTTCAGCAGCGTTCATTTTCGAAAGCATGCCAATTGGGAGCTACAGTTGCTCAAGACACCGAGCCGAACCGAACTCGTTTCTGTTCATGATTGAACTCTGGCTGGATCAGTTTCGCAACTCGGCTTCTGCCGAACGAGGTTGTAGTTCTTCTGTGCACCAAACAACCTTTGCGTTGAATTCTGTCTCTGCTGTTTTGTTCTGCACAGCTCCGTACAGTCAGCCTCGGAGAGAGCCGATTATGTTGCGACCAATAGGGATAATTTCCGATGGACGGAGAGACCCACTGTACTGTATGGAAATTTTTCCGACTGATATTTTGGAAATTTCATGAATGAGCACCCTGTACCACCCCCACCTGTATGAAACAATCTGCGACCTCAAGTGCAGGAGACCTCAAGTTCAAAATTTTAAATCCTACATCTCGGTTGTGCCATTGGTTTAGGTCAGGGCAGTGGATGCCATGCTCCGTCACCATCTCCAGGGAGCCGGCCCTCGACCTCGTTCCTCTTGTCCTGTCTTGTCTCGATTATTTCACACCCCTTAATCGCACACCTTGGGGTACTTCCCCCGTTCCTATCCCACACCTTGGGACACACCTGCGTGTTACCAACGTCTAGGAAAACCACGGAGGAGGGTCCGACGTACTTTCGCGAACTGTCGGGGTACACCAAGAATATAAAAGAGAACCCAAACCTAACTAAACCCCAACCCCGAATTTTAAGTGCGAGTCCTTTCTGAAGGTACCTGCCAGCTGTCTAGTCCCGCAATCTCTGGGTGTCCATCGCATCAAGTCAAAGTCCGTAAAGGGTACATACGAAAAAATGGATAGAAAAAGTATCCAGTTTCTCCCTAATGGGGGCCCTGAACATACGTCGAGTTCCCGCTCCGTACCAGTTAAATCCGCCTCTTCCCGGTGTGGATCCTGTTTCGCTTCCAGATTTGGAAATGGTGCGCTGTTTCGTATCACCAGAACTTCTAGTACAGTAAGAGGCGGGGATGTAAACTTGGATTGTGAACGTCGTTGGTAAATGTATCTGTAAAAAGAGGGACTGCCCTGGGGTTGATGTCACTGTGCACTGTATCTCGCAAGATGATGCACAGTTCAAGTACAAATCGAGACAGTGGTGGTGGTGACAGCTGTGCCATTAATGCAAACCGCGCTTCTGGGCAGACTGGTCTGCATGAGATGGACAATAGAGAGAGTACACACATTGTTTTTGGCGATGGAGGATGACAGAATAAAGCTCAAACAAGCATCAACAGTCTAACTCCACCTGATGGGCCTAGGCTATATTGTGAGATGTTATAGAGGAATGTAATATCTGGCGATGAGTTGATCCTTCGTCGGGAACAGGTGTATAGCTCGGGTTGGTGGGGAAACTCGCCGAGAAATAACATCGTCTGTTTCACTTCACATCCACACGAATCCACAGGCTTGAGCGATGTTTTTTGGCACCTTGTGTGATGTGGCGTGAAGTGCACGGATGAGCCAGCAAGCCGGCTTGGTTGGCTACCTATTTTGTCGCTGGTGTGCAAGCCGAAGCAGACTGATTCGAGAAGGCAAGGACCCGCATGGTTCACAATCTCTGATCGAAGAAGTGCGCTGCACGAATCACATAGCTTCAATTGATGCCAGCCGGCATATCCACCACTCACAATCCGCTTGGTCCTTTCACGCGTGCCGAGATTTTCCGTCAGCAGCCGTCTCTTCGGAATTCTCTGAATCGAGTTGGGTTCCCCAGAACGGGGAGGATGGGGGGAGTGAAGTGGGGAACAACAAAGCACGCACCCAATCCCGCCGATCTTCAGACGTCACAACCGAAATATACCGATACGTTTAGTGAGTCATGTTCCCGCGACGGTTCAGAAACGCGCTGCACAGATGCCAGAAACCCGTCAGCCTCAAATCACTCATAAATCCCAGCCAAGCTGATTCCGTCTTGTCTAACTGAAATATCCCTTACCTAGCCGATCTCCATAACCAGCCACACCACTGGAAGTGCTAGATTCCTCGTCGTCACTCCCTAGCCACTCAGTGCTAGAGCACTGACTGCTTTGAAAGCCCAGCCTATTCCTAATCCAGACACGGCCCCCAATGGACCGGTTCACTCCGCAGCATTCCTCGGAGCTCGCGCGTCGTTGCGTCTTCAGCGACCTGCTCGGCGAGGGCCAGTCGGGCCGCGTGTGGCGCTGCGTGGACCGCGCGACGGGGGAGGCCTTCGCGTGCAAGCAGGTGAACAAGCGCGGGCTTTCCCCCGCGGCGGAAGCGGACCTCCAGCGCGAAATCACCCTCTTAATCATCCTGCAGGGTCACCCTCACATGCTGCGACTCGACAGTCTGTACGAGGACGCGAAAGCTGTCTACATTCTCACGGAGCTCTGCGACGGCGGAGATCTCTTCGGGCTGCTCGCGGACCATCCGCGCGGGCTTGATGAGCGCACGGTTGCGCGGATCTTCGCGCAAGTGGCGCGCGCCGTGCAGTGGTGCCACGACCACCGCGTCGTCCACCGCGACATCAAGCCAGAAAACATCCTCATTTCGCGCCGCCAAACAGTGCTCCCCGACACCGCGGACGCCGCCGCCGCCGCCGCCTGCGCAGCGGGGAAGGCGGAGTACGACGTGCGGCTCGGGGACTTCGGTCTCGCGTACCAGCTTCCGCGCGATAAGTGCATCGTGGGGCTCGCGGGGAGCGCGCCGTACGAGGCGCCCGAGGTGCTCGCGCGCGCCCCGTACGGGTGCGAGGCGGACGTGTGGTCCCTCGGCGTGCTGCTGTACGCGCTGCTCTCCGCCTCCTGGCCCGCGTTCCGCGCGGGCGAGCGGAAACTCGTCCCCGCGGAGGACTTCGGGTACTTCCCCTGGCGGAAGGATGCGCGCGCGGATGGGGGGAAGCGCGAGGTGTCGTGGGCGGCTAAGGATCTGATCTGCCGCATGATGACCGTTGATCCTCAGGAGCGAATTGACATCGACGGTATTCTGGACCACCCGTGGCTGGTTCGCGATTTGAAGTGCTCCGAGGCTGCTGCTCTGGTAACCCTAACCCGAGAGGACACGCTAGCAGCAACAGCCTCTCAGAGGAGGCCAGAAATGGCAACGGAAGCAGCATCGGATGAAGAATGCTACGACTCGGAGGCATACAAGGAAGCCAATGGAGAGGTATCGTATGACGACACATACGCTGAGCACGTCGGGGACTGCGATGGAGCATACGAGAAGGGAGAGAAGGCGTCATTCAACAAGACGGCTCGTGCTGACAGCGGCTCAAGCGGCATGACAAGCATCAGCAGCATCAGCAGCAGCAGCGTTGCGCTCAGCATCAGCAGGAGCAGCAACACGAGAACCAGCTGCACCACTCCCAACAGCAGCAGCGGCAGCTCCAGCTACACACGGAGGACGCTCCTCAATCCAAGTAACCACACTGTCATTCATTTCCCTTCCGCCTCAAATCCAGCTGCACCACTCCCAACCGCAGCAGCAGCTCCAACTTGAGGCTCCTACATGCCTCCTACCATTCCCATTCACCGTAACTACCATATTCACCACCATTGTTACCGTAAATTTCGTTGCAGCTTTTTTAGAGCTCCCTGTCAATTTGGTAGCTCGTGTTGTTGCTTGCTGCGACTGCCCTGGTTAGACTGCTCTGGTTGGGTCCATTTGAATGGTTCCTCTACCCTCCCAGATAGGGAGGCGTGTTTTTGCCATGTATCGGTACCCTGTATTTTTCACTCCGCTTGGAGCTTGAATATTTTGCAAGGACCGAAACTGCTTGGGAGGTTGCAAAGCCTGACAGCCGCATCCTGCAAGGCCCAACGATAAATGAACTCAAAAGACATGGATAGTGCAGTGCAGTGCAGGATGGTATGGCTGCTGTTGAAATGCCACGCCACCCACTTGAAATATAGATGGCCAACCTCTGCCGGAATTGACATAGGTACGGTATATGACGTGTAAGGTAACTGCATGTGGGCTTGCATTGTGGGGTGGAAGAAAAGATGGAGAGTATGGATAGAACACACAGAACCAAACCCGGGGAAGCTGCAGAAGAGAGGAGGTGGGGCTCACATGGAATGAGCATGCTGCTTCTGTCTGTCGCAGGAGACTGGTGATGATGCCAGGCAGGCGGAATGATGCAGACTGATGCAGACTGATGCAGGGACCTTGGTCTTCCATTGCAAGTAATGTGGTGTTCCATTCGGTCTGGTCAGTCACTTGGCCGGTTACTTGGTCACAGGCGGGGCGATGCTAGGCAGGATCTTGGCCAATAGCTGCGTGCCACATGGCGGGCTGCCATGCGCAATGGCGGAGGTCATGTCTGGCAGCTGCCTCTCCAACATGTCATATGCATCGGCAAAGGCCTGATGGGGTTTGGAAGAGCGGAAGGGGGGAGGATGGGTGACAGGCAGAGACGTAGAGGTGAGTTGTATGGCAGAGGTCATGTCTGTCTGGCAGCTGCCTCTCCAGCATGTCATATGCATCGGCGAAAGCCTGATGGGGTGAGAACAGGGAGCACGGAAAGGGAGCAAGGAAAGGGAGCAAGGACAGGGAGCAAGGACAGGGAGCAAGGACAGGGAGCAAGGACAGGGAGCAAGGACAGGGAGCACGGACAGGGAGCACGGACAGGGAGCACGGACAGGGAGCACGGACAGGGAGCACGGTATCTACAAGAGAATGAATACGTGCACAAGTTGGGGTGAGAAGACGTCCGAGGTCATGTCTGTCTGGCAGCTGCCCAGACGAGAAAGAATGCGTGCGGAAGGTGGGGAGAGGAGGGGAGATGTCAGAGGTCATGTCTGTCTGGCAGCTGCCTCTCCAGCATGTCGTACGCATCGGCGAAGAGAAAGAGTTGTATACCAGTCGTGAGGGGCGGGAGAGATGAGTCAGCGGCGGGAGAGATGAGTCAGCGGCGGGAGAGATGAGTCAGCGGCGGGAGAGATGAGTGAGGGGCGGGAGAGATGAGTGAGGGGCAGGACAGAAACATGGTTCATTGGATTCATAATGTGTTGGCTCCATGCATGTAGTGCACACCTTGGTGCATTGCAGGATGCGAAAGCAGTTGCGGCCGACATTGTTGGTGGGATCCAAGGGGTCCTCAATGTGCAATGGGTCGATGCTGCCATGCTCATTCATGCATGCACACACACACATGCACACATGAATGCACACATGCACACATGAATGCACACATGCACACATGAATGCACACATGCACACATGAACACACACGCGACACATCACAAACATGCACATACATGCACACATGCACAGTTGCAAACGTGCACACATGTGCACATAAACACATGCAGACATTCACACATGCACATGTAAACATGCACAGACACACACATGCGCGCGCACACACAAAACGCGAGGACACTTCAACACAACGAAGCGCACTCAAGTGTGCAGCGGACGAACGATAGATGCAGATGCATGGAAGAACAGAAGACATTCACAGATACCGACACCAGCCCTGAGATTCAGTAGTCAAGCAACGGTGCTGGAACATCTCAACGGCACCACATAACCCAATCTCCAAGAAGCTTTCTTAGAGGAAGCTACCGGGCAAATCCGTCTCACCTCTGGGAGCGGTCTCGCTCGAGAAAGGCCCCTCCGAGCCTGATGCTGGCCGCCATGCGCCGTGGGTCAAACACACAGCTGTTGGGTGGGGTGGGGTGGGACGGGGTGGGGTGGGGTAGGGGGTGGGTTTGCAGGGGTTGAGAGGAAAGCTGCCTGATGCTGGCAGCCATTCGCCGCGGGTCAAACACACAGCTGTGAAGGGGGAGGAAGAAAAGAGAGGAGGGAGATTACTGGTGAGGAACCTCACAAGTCAAGCACACCAACGTGGGGGAAGAGGAGGAAGAGCACTTGTGAGGCCCCTCACAAGTCAAGCACACAGCATGCCAAAAGGCAGCGAGGAGGCGCGGGTTAAAGTCACACGCACCCATAGAAGTGCAGGAAGTCGAGCAGCAGGCTGCCCAGGTTCTGCCACTGGCGCGAGTAGGTCGACAGGCAGTGACAGTGGCGGGTTGTGACGCCAGCCATTGCACGCACACGCGCATACAAGTCATACACCCATGCACTCATGCATGCACCCATGCACGCGTGCACGCACCCATAGAAGTGCAGAAAGTCGAGCAGCAGGCTGCCCAGGTTCTGCCACTGCGGCGGGCGGCCGATGTGCGGCTGTATCTGCAGGAAACGCGTTATCAGCAATAACTGGTGAGTGGTGGGGGGGGGGGGGAGGAGAGGAGAGGGGGGGAGAAGGGGAAGGTAGGGGTTGGGGGTGGGGTTTTGGGGGAGGATTGGAGGTGAGAGTGGTGCTACACAGCAAAGAAAGGGTAGAGGCAGGCGGGTGATGTGCAGGGGGGTTGTGACGACTCACAAGGCAGTAGGAGGAGAGGCCGCCAATGTAAGGATGGTCGAGGCTACGGTCTGTGAGGATGCGGAGAGGAGAAGGCAAGGGAAACTATGAGAGAAAGGGGGAGTGCAGCAACTCACGAGGCAGTAGGAGGAGAGGCCGCCAGTGTAGGGATGGTCGAGGCTGCGGTCTGTGAGGAACTGCTTGAGCACCAGAGCGAGCGGTGGGATGGCTGGGAACTGTGCTGTGAGCTCTCGCACCTGATAAGGCATAAGGGAGGGGAGGAATCAGGGGGTGAGTAACAGCCAGGGAGTTAATGGTTTGTGAGGAACTGCTTGAGCACCAGGGCCAGCGGTGCGCCGTCAGCTCTCGCACCTGCAGGGGGCATGGGCAAGCAGTTGTTGGGAGAGGTGGACGCAGGGAGACATGGAAGCAAGAAACATTTAGCTGACTGGTGCTGGCTGAAGCACGCCGTGGTGAATATATGTATGTATATATATATATATATATATATATATATATTCCAACTCAATAGTCACATCGTGGCAGACTCGCGTGCGCCTCCCCAGTTCACAAAAGGTTCTGGCAGTTACATCCCAACAACTCGCCAGGTCAACAAGCTCTGGGCGCAGTCTCGCAGAGAGATCTTCAGAACTCGCCAGGACCCACGTTGACTCCAAAGTGCCCCAGCAGCCTGGCACGCAGAACCAGAAGGGCTCACCAGGCGCAACCCACCAGTTCAGCAGTGCGCAGGCCCGAGTGTGAGCCGCCTTCGAAGCTGATGTCCAAACGCACGTTGCGCCTGTCGTCCACATTCCCCCACGGGCCCCTCGCCCCACCCCTCACCACCTGCACCTGCACCTCCCCCGCTGCTGCTGCTGCTGCTGCTGCTACTGCTGCTGTCTTTTGAGACGTCTCAAACAGCACCTGCACATTCCCACCTGCTGCCCCCTTCCCTCCTCCACCTGCTTTCTCCAACCCTTCCTCCACCTTCTCAAGAACAACCTCTGGCTTCTCCGAAACCCCACCTGCGTTCCCCACTCCCTCCTCTGTCTGCTGCCCTTTTTGTGTCGTCACCTCCCCTACCACCTCCCCATTCCCTCCGCCCTCCACCTCCCCCAGTATTGAATCTTCAGTAGCAGAGACCCGGCTTGAGCTGCTGCTGCTAGCAGCAGTGACCGGTGACACCCCCGGTTTTTGAGTTGAGTCAAACATTTGAGCCAACTCAAAAGTCGTGACCGCTGTGAGATTTGTGCCACCTCCACCTGCAGCAACAGCGTCAGGAGCAAAAGCAGCGAAAAAGAATCAGAAGCAGAGGCAGACGCAGGGGTCGCTCAACGAGTGCCAGCAGCACTGCCGCTTATCTCGTCTGCCCTGACACGTGATTCCAAACCAACGGCTCACCTCCTGCGTCTGCACTCGCCACATCAGCAGAGGCCACCTCAGCAGGGCTAATGTCGGCAAGGACAGCCGGAGCCACATCAGCAGTGGCAGCAGGGGCCACGTCAGCAAGGACAGCGGGTGCCACGTCAGCAGAGAGGCGGGACGTGTGGGCAGGGAGGCGAGCAACGAGCATGATGATGGGCACCATGGCGTTCTCAATGGTCTTGATTGAATCGCTCTTCACCCAATCCTGGTCCGCCAGGTGGCGCGCAGCGTGCTGCAGACACGTCTCCTTGATGCCGTTGCGCCCCTCCAAGATGCCCGCCTCCTTTATCGGCTCCTGGTGACGCAAAGACGCGATGAGGGGGGATGGAGAATGAGGAGGGATGAGGGTAAAGAGGAAGTAAGCACACTGGGAAGAAACACTGGTAAGACCTGAGCGTGCCTTGTTAAAAAATGATGCGCCCCTCCAATGTGCCCGCCTCCTTTATGCAAGCGAGAGCGAGCAAGTGAGGTAAGGGCGATACCAAAGCACAGAGCAAGGGAGAGGGAGAGGGAGAGATGGCGGGGGCATCTCACCAGGTTGCGGACGGGCGGCAGGTGCACGAGAATGTCAACGTCACTCGATGGCAGAGCCAGGCCCGTGGCATTTGAGCCAAAGATGGAGACGCGGGAACGCGGCCACAGCACCTGAAGGGGACAAGCAACCCCAGGGGCCAGGTGGTAGCACAATAGGGGGAATGAGCATGAGTATGGGCACAGGCGCTGGGTTTAAGCCGAAGGTGGACACCCGGGAGCGCGGTCACAGCACCTGAATGGCCGGGATGTGGACATGGGAGCCTTGATGATTATTGGACCGTCTTACACCAACAATAGGAAACAGTCAGTGCAAAAGGACAAGGTCCCTGTGATTTTACCTTCACAAGGGCAAGGGTTTAGTTTTTTGAGTCGACTCAAAAGGTGACTTTTGAGTCGACTCAAAAAGAAAAGACAAGGTCCCTGTGATTTTACCTTCACAAGGGCAAGGGTTTAGGGTTTGCAAGTGGCAAGGAAAATGCCGACACTTATAATCGCCTCGAAACTTACCTCGGTGGTAGCATGCCTCGATACGCCCAGGTGACTCGGAAAGTGACTCTTCAGCCACCCACGCACCTTGCCTGCAGGGATTGAGCGCCCCACCTGCTTTTGAGTCGACTCAAATCAAAAGCAGGGATTGAGCGCCCCACCTGCTTTTGAGTCGACTCAAATCAAAAGCAGGGATTGAGCGCCCCACCTGCTTTTGAGTCGACTCAAATCAAAAGCAGGGATTGAGCGCCCCACCTGCTTTTGAGTCGACTCAAATCAAAAGCAGGGATTGAGCGCCCCACCTGCTTTTGAGTCGACTCAAATCAAAAGCAGGGATTGAGCGCCCCACCTGCTTTTGAGTCGACTCAAATCAAAAGCAGGGATTGAGCGCCCCACCTGCTTTTGAGTCGACTCAAATCAAAAGCAGGGATTGAGCGCCCCACCTGCTTTTGAGTCGACTCAAATCAAAAGCAGGGATTGAGCGCCCCACCTGCTTTTGAGTCGACTCAAATCAAAAGCAGGGATTGAGCGCCCCACCTGCTTTTGAGTCGACTCAAATCAAAAGCAGGGATTGAGCGCCCCACCTGCTTTTGAGTCGACTCAAATCAAAAGCAGGGATTGAGCGCCCCACCTGCTGCGCACACATACGAGACCTTGCCGATGCCATGCTGCCATCCCCACGCCTGCACTCACCCGCTCACAAACCCGGCTCTGCACTGACTTACCTGCAGCATGCCATCCACACACCCGCCTACCGACCGACCTGCAGCGCGCGCGAGACTTTGGTGATGGCGGCGAGCTGGTAGGGCTTGCGGGCGGGAATCCCCCCCATCACCTGCCTGACTCATCCGCCACTCCCTTACCTCCAATCCAACCTACCCACCCGTTGACTGACCTGCAGCGTGCTACCCACGCACTCACCTGCAGCGTGCGCGAGACTTTGGTGATGGCGGCGAGCTGGTAGGGCTTGCGGGCGCGCATCTCCCCCATCACCTGCAGACAGAACGCCTCTATCTCCTCGTGCAGCGCACTGTGCAGCGCTGCTAGGGCTGGCTGCGATGAGGGGTCGCCCCGACAGCAGCGATCCACCGGGATGATTGTGGGCAGCTGGGGAGGGGGAAACGAGGAGACAGGGGTGAGTGGGAGGAGGAGTTTGAGTGGTCGTGCAACGCACTGTGCGCATCTCCGCCATCACCTGCAGGCAGAACGCCTCGATCTCCTCGTGCAGCGCACTGTGCAGCGCTGCTAGCGCTGGCTGGGAGGAGGGATCCCCGCGGCAGCAGCGATCCACTGGGATAATGGTGGGCAGCTGTAGGGGGAAAGGGGAATGAAGGGAGGGGGGCCAAGTGGGAGGGCACAGGGACAAATGGGAGATGGTGTTCGTGCAGCGCGCTGCGCAGCGACTGGTTTTTGAGAATTCTGGTTTTTGAGAATTCTGGTTTTTGAGAATTCTGGTTTTTGAGAATTCTAGTTTCTGAGAATTCTGGTTTTTGAGAATTCTAGTTTCTGAGAATTCTGGTTTTTGAGAATTCTAGTTTCTGAGAATTCTGGTTTTTGAGAATTCTAGTTTCTGAGAATTCTGGTTTTTGAGAATTCTCAAAAACCAGCTCAGTATCAGGGACACCCTGATACACCCTGCAGCATCAGGGACAAATGGGAGATGGTGTTCGAGCAGCGCGCTGCGCAGCGCTGCTAGTGCGGGCTGGGAGGAGGGGTCTCCTCGACAGCAGCAATCCACCGGGATGATGCCGGTGCTAATGCCGGTTGTGAGGAGGGGTCGTCCCGGCAGCTGCGATCCACCGGGGTTGGATTGGGCAAGGGGAGGGAGGAATGCGGCGGAGTGCAGGGCAGAGGCGTGTGTTGAGTGAATCCACTTCGAGATTGAAGAAGTGTTTTGAGACGTCTCAAAACACTGCTTCAATCACCGGGGTTGGATTGGATTGGGCAAGGGGAGGGAGGAATGCGGAGGAGTGGAGGACAGAGGCGTGTGTTGAGTGAATCCACTTCACCACAATGTATCAACTACCAAACAACATTCACCGTGTCCTTTCAGCTCACCTTGACAGGATCAAGAGCGAGAGGTGGCACCAGAGCTCTCACTCCTTCAGGAACCGCCCTCCCTCCCATCCCCATCGCCCTCACGCCTCCCATCAGCCCCTCTCCACCACCACCACCACCACCTCCTCCACCTTCACTCGCCCCTTGCCCGGCACCCATTGCTGCAGCTGCTGCAGCAGCGGCGGCGGCAGCAGCGGCAGCGGCGGCAGGAGAGGGTAACCCCCACAACGCTCTGCCACCCCCACCCTGCCCCACACCAAGCCCACCCACAGGCAACCCCACCGCCCCCCCCATCCCTGCCGCTACCGCTGCTGCTGCCGCAGCCGCAGCCGCAGCCGCAGCAGAAGCAGCACCAGCAGCAGCAGTGGCAGCAGCAGCATTCTCTCTCACCATCACTGCCTCTCTCGCTGCCGCCACTGCCGCAGCAGCAGCAGCAAAGCCAACGCCACCCGGAGCACTACCAGGAAGCAAACCCCAGTGCCTAGGACTAGAGCTCCCGGATCGCACCCGGAAATACCCCCGGGATCTGCCCGCGCCCGCCACAGGGGAGGGTGGAGGCGGGGGAGGTGCTTCCTGGGGCGGTTGGTATCTGAGGACGGGCGAGCTGGGGCGTTTCCAGGAGCGCATTCGCCCCGCCATGGCTGCTGCATGGGAGGACGGCTTGTTGTTGGTTCCGCTGCTGCTTCCGCCACTGCTGCCGCTGCTGATGCCGCCTCCACTGCCGCTGCTGATGCTGATGCTCATGCTGCTGCGGCTGCTGGGTGTGGGAACTCGTATCGGTCCTGGTAGGGTGAAACCTCCTGCTGCGGTGATGGTGACAGGTGCAGCAACAGCAGGAGGAGGCATGCCTGGGGCGGAGGGTGGTGATGCTAGGCGTGGGCTGGGGGGTATAGCTGGGCTTGGGGGTATTGTTGGGCTTGTGGGAATGGCTGTGCCTGAGGAAATGGATGTGGCTAGTGGGATGGCTGGGCCTGGGGGTATGGCTGTGCCTGGTGGTGATGTGATGGCTTGGGGAGTATTGAACTCGCAAATTTGTTGCTGGATGGGATGATTGTGGATATGCAGCATCTGACCCTCCTGCTGCTGCTGCTGCTGCTGCTGCTGCTGCTGCTGTTGTTGTTGCTGGGACTGATGGGGACTTTGGGGGACTTTGGCAGCAGATGCAGCTGCTGCAGCCAAAGCAGCTGCGGCTGCAGCTGCAGTTTCCTCTGCTGCTTTGACAGAAGAGGAGCGGGAGAGGGGAGGGGTGCGATGAAACATCTTCCCACCGCCGCTGCCGCCAGTGCGCCGAAGGCTTATGGGAGTGCTGCTGCAGCTGCTGCTGGTGCTGCTGCTGCCGCCACTGCTGCTAGCAGGAAAACCCCCACCAGACGGAGACCCAAGTACCGGCTGTAGAAGCTGCAAAGGTTGGGGAGGGCGCACCTGCTGTTGTTGTTGCTGTTGCTGCCCATCCGTATCTGGAATGTCCACGATCTCATCCCTATCGCCATTCCCATCCCCATCCCCATCGCCATCTCCCCGTACGCACGTGCTGCTGCTGCTTCTCAATCCTCCTCCCTCCACCACACCTGCCTCCCCTCCAGAGCTCCCAGGTCTCGCCCCTGCCCCACCAGGCACACCAGGAATCTGCTCCTCCTGCTCCACCTGCTCCGCACTCCCACGCCCTGCTTCTCCCCTGGCCTCAGCTGCAGCTGAAATCGCTGCAACTTCTGCCCCCCCTTGCCCTGTATCACTACCACCTGCCTGCCCTTCCATACGCGAAGCAGCTGGATCAGCACTGGCCGTGGGCTCGGCAATAGGCGATGGAGTAGGTGCGGCGAAAGGCTTGGTGTTGTTGTTGGTGGTGCTTCTGATAGTGTCAGAAGCGGCTTCACCAGTAGCACCCGCCCCGGCTGCTCCAGTAGGATGCACACTGGTGCTCTTCTGCGCTTCCCCTTGCGCAGTGACGCACTCACTGCCAGCACTGCCAGCACTGCCTGCACTGCCTGCACTGCCTGCACTGCCTGCACTGCCTGCGTCCTTTGCACGCCCACCACCCTCCCTCTCACCACGATCCATGACTGGACTCTCACCCTTCCGATCAGAGATTTCAGGACATTCAGAGCCTTTGGCTGCTGCTTGTGGAATCGTAGCTGCTGGTGTTGCTGCTGCGACTGCTGCTGCCACTGCAGGTCCTGCTGCTGCCGCTGGTGCTGCGGCGGCTGTCACTGGTGCTGCTGCTGCCGAGGGCGCTGCTGGCGCTGCCACTGGTGCGGCTGCTGCTGCTGCCGCCAGTGGCGCAGGGGAATCAGTGACCCGAACGACAGCTGCAGCACCAGCTCCGTTGCCCCTCTGCCCCTGAACACGTACCGGATCACTCTCAGACCGAGCCAACCCCATTCCCCGAGGCCGCCCTTGCTGCTGCGCCCCTCCACGCCCACTCAACACACCCGCGTTGCCGCTGCTGCCACCACCACCACCGCCACTGCCACTGCCAGAGTTGCCTGCGGTGTTACCAGCGCCAGTAGCAGTGCCAGTGGAAACGGGGCCAGCTCCACACAACACGAGTCCTCCACTTCCTGACGACAGAAGCCGACTCCCTCCTCCTGCCCCTCTCCCTGCCCCCCCCACACCACCACCACCCAGCTCAAAACGCGGAGAAACGACTCCTGAGACCGCCGCCGCTGCAGCAGCAGCACCACCACCACCAGCCAAAATCCCAGCACCGGCAGCAGCGGAGAGAGAAGCGTGGCGCATATCAAACGGGCCAGAGGCAGTGGAGCTGGGCGACGGAATACTCGACCGATCAGTCGACGCAGCAGTAGACAGCCCCATAACTGGCGGATACGACCCCGAAATCGAACCCGAAATCGACCCTGATATCGGGAACCCTAGAACTATATCATCCACAATCAACCGCACATCCGCCTCTCGTCTCAACCACGAGCTGTCCTCCGACCCTAGAGACGACCCAGTGCGGGACGCGCCGCCGCTCGCACTGGCCCCGCGGTAATCCGCCATGTTCCAGTAGAACACCCCTCCGCCAAACACATTCCTATAGTCCACATCGTTATCATCATAAGAGAATCGCGTCTCTTCACGTGTACCTTCAGCCCCGCAGCTGCTGCCACCAGGACCTCTACCCCCAAGAATACCTCCCTCAGGTGCTCCTCCCCCAAGCATACCTGCCCCCATCCCTGGGATTCTGTGTCCCGACGGGCCTTGTATCGCCCCTATTCCAGCCCCCCCGCCCCACCCCATTCCCGCTGGCCCCATGGCTCCATGCATGGCCTCTTTTCCGTACATGCCCCTCCCCGACCGGTAATTTCGAGGGTAAAACACCCCTCTTCGCTGGGCTACCAGCGGAACGCTCTCGTCCTCAGAGAAGTACCCCCTGTCGCCCGCACCGCCCACAAACTCGGCAAAATCTTCCTCCAACATCTGGTAATTCTCCCCTGCTAATAACGAATCATCTGTGAAATTCTCCAAAGACCAGTCCTCTGACTCCCCTTCCTCAGTGCCCTCGCCTGCTGCCCCCTCCCCATCCCCATCCCCATCGTTGCCCTCCGTCCCATCCTGGCTGGCCCTGCTGCTTCTAGCCCAGCAGGAGGTGCGTCTGGAGGGTGTTGATAAGGGCGTGCTAGGGGCTTGCACTGCCGTTTCGGAGGAGTTATCCTCGTTATTAGCAGAAGCGTTGTCAGCAGGAGGAGCCTGGCCCTGGAATTCAAACTCCCCGTCGCCCTGCCGACCATGCTCACCAGCACTCAGCGCAACAGCAGCACCTGTGGAGGCTGTAGCATTCATATCAGCAGCAGCTGTAGCAGTGGTTTCCGCAGTACCACCAGCAGTGCCAACACCACCAGCAGCAGCGGTAATCCTGTCTCTGCCAGTGGCATCAGGGCGGCTGGTTTCGTTCCCTGCTCGCCGCCTTGTAGGCACAGTGATGCGCAACTGCGGATGGTGGTGGCCCGGAGCAGCAGCAGCAGCAGCAGCAGCAGCAGCAGCAGCAGCAGCAGCAGCAGCAGCAGCAGCAGCAGCAGCACTACCACCACCAGCTTCCCCCCTCTCCCTCTCGCCAACATCAGCTGCTCCCTCTCCCTCCACTCCTCCCCTACCTGTGCCATTCGCCCCTCTTGTCTCCGTTCCCATCCCTGCTGGCCCTGCTTGTCCACCCGATGCCAGCCCCACCCCCCTTCCCTCGACAATCCCCACTGCAAGATCCGCATCCTCCTCCCTTCCCAACAAGCTCCCATCCTCCCGCTCCTCCCCATCCCTGGGAACGGCCTCAGGGACCACAGGCGGCGCCACAACCACTGGCTCAGGCAGGCTGTGAGGGGGAGCACGGGAGGCGACGGCGAGGGGGGCACCAGCAGAGGACTGGGAGGGATGGTGCACGTGTGGCTGGTCCTGGGTAGGGCTTGACGAGGCGCAACTGGCAGTCTGGGGTAGGTGAGGCAGGTGGGGAAGGTTGGGAAAATAAGGCAGATGGGGATGATGGGCGGGGTGAGGGTTGTGGGCGAGATGGCCTGAGTGCCAGCCAGAGACATGGTGGTGGGAGAGTGCGGTGTGAGTCTGCTTTTGAGTCGACTCAAAAGCAGAGACATGGTGGGGGAGTGCGGCGTGAGAGGGAGCGGGGTAGGAGAGAGGGGGCTCTGGCACGTGGAGGAGCTCCCTAGGCGGGCCCAACACACCAGGGTAGCGCGCGTGAAACGCCTGAAACGGCTCATCGACCGAGACAGTGTCTGAGCCGCATTCATAGGAGGAGTATGGTGGGTGTGGGCCGTGTGGTGGTATAGGAGCTGGAGCTGGGGCTGCCTCAAAGGCAGTGTTTGAGAGGCAGTCGTAGTAATAGGGGCGCGACCAGGCAGGCTCTGCAGCCCAGGTGGAGATAGAGGAGGGGAGCACGGGGTGCAGGGGATGCAGGTCAGGTGGGAGGGGATGGAAGTGAGAGGGGTGGAAGTGAGGGAAGTGTAGATCAAGGGGGTGCAAGTGAGGGGGGCAAGGGCCTAGTAAGCCTGCTTTGCTGTCTGGGTTTCGATGGGTGGGGAGGACAGGTAGAGTGGGTTGTGCGGGTGGTGGTGGTGGTGGTGGCGGGGGTGGCGGTGGTGGTGGTGGTGATGATGTGCTGGAAGCATATGCAGATGATGAGTCCGGATGGAGAGAAGGGGAGGAAGTCGCAGAGGCAGCAGACGTAGGAGGAACAGCAGGAGCAGCAGCAGCAGCAGTGGAAGAAACAGCATCAGGAGTAGCCATCGGATCAACAACAAGAGGAGCACTGGCAGGATTAGCAGGAGAAGCAGAGACAGGGGCAGAGGCAGAAGCAGAAGCAGAGGCAGACGCAAAAGCAGAGGCAGAGGCAGAGGCAGAGGCAACGGCAGAAGCAGGGCCAGCAGCAGAGAGGGAGGACGAGGGCAGGGACGAGGCGGGGCGAGAGGCAGCAGGGGAAGAGGGCAGGCTGGGGGGCCGGGGGGGGAGCTGGGTAAGGAGAAGAGCAGAGGGGCGGTGCCACAACCAGGGCCACCGCCCTGACCCCTCCAGATGCAGTGAATTCAACATCGACTGCTGCTGCTGATGCTGGTGTAACAGCAACTGGTACTGCTGCTGAAACTGCTGCAGCTGGTGCTGCGGGTGTGCATGCGGATGCTGGTGATAGGGGTTGGGTGAGATGAAAGGAGGGGGTTGTTGTAAGGGAGCAGCAGACAGAGAGCGAGGCCAAGGGGGATGAAAGCCGGGCCACTCGTGGTGTGGGGAGAGGCGGGTGGCGTGTTGGGGGGAGAAGGGGAGTCGCATGGGGGGAAACTGATGCTGAGAGGGAGGCTCCTGGCGGGGCTGCTCCTGCTGCTGCTGCTGCTGCTGTGGCGGATGGGGTTGTGGTTGCACTGAGACCGAATCTGGTGACTCTGCTGGGAAGAACGGAGGGGCATCTGGTGAAGGCACGAACTGTGCCTGCCTGCCAGCATTTGAATCGCTGCTGGGGCCAATTGCAGGCCCGTTTGTCCTAGCAGGAGGGGCACCTGGTGAAGGCACTAACTGTGAGTGCATGCAAGGAGGCTCTATCCCCATGCTGGCAGGGGTGATAGAGCCTGAGTGGAGTGACTGAGGGGAGGGAGGTGCAGGGGAGGGGGATTCAGGGGAGGTAGACGTGGGACTGGAGGAGGAAGATGTGGGAGGTGGAGAGGAGGAGAGGGGGGGGATGTTTTGCGCTGCTTCTCTCCGGGAGCGGCGCATGAGAGGCGAGAGGAAGGGGAGGGCCTGGGAGGGGTCTGTGGGCGTGGCCTGGCTGGTCTTTGGGAGTTGCAGCAGGGGGAGAGGGGGGAATGCTGAGAGCGAGAGGTCTAGACTGGTAGGGGAGGAAGAGTTATGAGAGGGACGGGCCAGCCTGCTGCTGCTAGCAGCGCCGCTTCCATGTGATGCAGCTGATGGAGCTGACCTCTCTGACGCGGCTGCTGCTGCTGCTGCTCCTGCACCTGCTCTTGCTCTTGCTGGCGCTGCTGTTGCTGATGTTGATGCATGCAGGGAAGGCACTGCGCCAGCATCACAAGTGCCTTCCCTGCATGCATCAACATCAGCAACAGCAGGAGGTGAAGCACATGCACGAGTCACCTCTGCAATAACACAAGTGCCTCTGCTGCTTCCGCCTCCTGCCGCTGCCCCTGCTGCTGCCCCTGACGTTACCCCTTGTGCTGCTGCACCTGCAGGCATTGCAGGTGTCGAGGCTAGAGCAACTGCTGAGCCTTCAACAGCTGCAGGCTTGCTACCAGAAGCTTGCACAGCAGAAGACGCAGAACTCAACTCCCTCCGAACCTCCTTTCCACCTCTGGCTCCTCCTATCCGTTTCCCTTGCCTTTGCTGTTGCTTTTGAATACAATTCCCAGCACCACCACCACCACCCGCGCCACCACCACTGGCGCTGCTGCTGCCGCCACCCCCTGCTGCTCCTTTCTTGCACACCAGACGCCACTCACCACCATCACCACCATCAAAAACACTACCGCCGACACCACCACCACCACCACCACCACCACCACCACCTTCCAGTGATCCAGGCAGAACATCAGAGGCAGGAAGCGCACTCACAGCTTCGCTACCCTGCTGTTGCACCACTGTAAGCAAATTGCCAGTGCATGCAACTGCCTCTCCACCCTCCATTCCACCCTCCACTCCACCCTCCACTCCACCCTCCACTCCACCCTCTTCTCTGCAACCCATGCCATCTACACTCTCCTCTTCAGCAGCCTCATCCTTAGCAGCAGCGGCAGCATCCCCTGTCCCGCCATCCTTCCCCTTCCCTTTCTTCTTCTTCCGCTTCCGCCCCTTGCTCTGCCCACCACTGCAGCTGCTGCTCCCACCGTCCCCCTGTCCCTTCCCCTCCCCTCCCACCCTCCCCTTGCTCTCCCTTTCCCCCTGCAGCAGCTCCAGCTGAAGGGCTGTCCGCAGGGAAGCATCAACAGCGGACGCAATCCGCATCCGTGTCCTGCTTAGCATGGAAGAGGCTTCGGTCAGCGGGGATAGGAGGGTGTGAGGGAGTATGCAAGGGGTCTGAGAAGGAACCGAGGAAGGAGAGGTGGCAGCAGCAGCAGCAGCAGCAGCAGCAGAGGCAGAAGCACCCCAGCACGATTGCAGCAGCTTCTCTGATTCACACCATGTGGGCACATCACCAGCACCAGCACCAGCACCAGCACCAGCACCAGCACCAGCACCAGCACCAGCACCAGCACCAGCGGCAGCACCATTCCTCTTCCCACCACCAGTGGCAGCGCCACCAGATGCAGCAGCAAGGAGCGGAGCGAGGTCCATGAGGGCAAGGAGGCCGGCGACCCAGGGTCCAACAGGGGAGCGGCCGAGGCGGTCCCAGGAGTGGGCAGAGAAGGCAATGGGCGGACCGCACTGGGAGCAGGGATTCAGAAACAGCCCATCCAGAAGGAGTGCACGCGGGACAGTGAGGGCGCCATTAGCAGGAGCAATGCTGCTGCTGCTGATGCCGCTTGCAGAGCACAAGTTGGCGCCACTAGCAGGGCTGATGCTGCTGCTGTCAATGAGAGGACCGACGATGCTGCTGCTGCTGCTGCTGCTGCTGCAGTCAGGGGCGGAGCAGAGGTGGCGGGAGACGGAGTGGCGGGCGGTAAGCAACGAGGGGTGCAGGGAGGCTCTGTTGCGGTGGATGATGCGGATGAGGTGGTGCTGGGAGAAGTGTGCCCGCGCTGCCTCTGCTTGCCTCACAGTTGACAGGGCCTGGTTGGGGGGATTGGGGAGATTGGAGAAAGACTTGTGATTGATGAGAGAGGAAAGGGTCTGTCGCGGTGGATGATGCGGATGAGGTGGTGCTGGGAAAAGTGCGCCCGCGATGCCTCCGCTTTCCTCACAGTTGATAGGGCCTGGATGCGAAGGAAGGAGAGTGGAAAGGGGGAGAATTGTAGGAGACGGAACCAGAGAAAGAATTGGGGTTATGATAACCAGAGTATCATACCCAGAGAACGGGACCAGAGAAATAATTTAGGACGGGAAGCCTCTGTAACAACGGTGGGGTGCAACAACGGTGGATGATGCGGACGGGGTGATGCGGGGAGGAAGTGTAATCACGCTACCATGCCATGCCAGGGCCTGCATGGGAGTGCAGGAAGATGGCTAACAGACTCAGAAAATCACGAACGTAGTTGACGGTTAATAAACGTCACCCAACATAGCAAACGCAATTTGTGCAAAATGCACGAGTAAAGCATCCCCAGATCACCTCGGCCTTAGCTGCAAGGCACACGGCGCCCTGAAGCGCCTTTGCTTCCGCGCCACCAGAGCCCTGCTTCTCCCTCCACCACCGCTCCACCCTCTCCACTCTAGACAGCGCCGGGCACTCCGCTACTCTGCTCTCAACCCCAATACCACCACTGCTGCCACTACTGCCGCCACCTGCAACAGCAGCAGTGGTGCCTGTTTTGTCATGAACCCCCACTCCCACCTGAGCTACCCTTCCATCCCCCCTTCCTTCCCCGCCTTCCCCCCCCACCCCTGCTGTGGGCGCTGCTACTACAGCTCCAAGGCACCTGGCGCGGTCCCAGGCGCGCCACAGGTGGATCTCCAGGCGGCTGGCAACAAAGGCAGCCAGCGGGTAGAACCCCAGCGCCTGCAGCCACGGCAGCTCCTCCCACGAATACTGCCCCTGCCCGCTGCTGCCGCCGCTATTATTACTGCTGGTGCTACTACCAGTGCCGCTGCTGCCACTGGTGCTGCTGCTGCCATGAATGGTGGTGCTGGAAGAATGGGCCCTTGCAGGCGCTTTCGTGAGGAATCCTCCCCAGGAAATCTCCTCCATGACCGTGAAAAACAGGTCGACGTTAGCTAGTAACGAGTCAGCCAGTGTGAGGGAATCTACAGATGGCTGCACCTGGTCCTGAAACGACCCACGTGCAGCCTTAGTAATGCTTGAACTACCTGTACAAGCTACAGAATATTTATCAGAGAACTTTTCCTGCAAAGCACCCGCCTGCTTTGCAAGGCCCCCCGTCTCCTGCTGCGCCGAAGGAGACGGAGAAGGCGAGGAGGAGGAAAAGAACCTGATGGCAGATTCGATTCGCCCAGCCGCCCACTGCTGCCGCCCCAGCCGCGTCCACATGCCTTCACACCGCTTGAAGCAGATGGCGGGCAGAGGAGGACCCGCTGACAGCTCCCTAGGCTTCCCAACGAGCTGCGGCGGCGTACCGGCCTTGTCCACAGGAAAGCCGTCAAAACCGTCAGTCCTGGGTGTGCAAGGCGTAGCCTGATCGTCAGTCCTAGGAGGTAGTCCTAGGTCCTGCCGTCTGGGTACTACCTCCACCAGTTGCTCCTCCGAGTGTCTTGCTGTTTTTGAACCGTCCTCCGCTCCGACACGACCGCTGGGCTTACCTTTCCTTTTCCCGCCACCTCCTCCCTTGCTCCCCTTCCCTCGCCCTTTACCGTGACCATGGGAAGCAGAAGTAGCAGCAGCAGCTCCCGCTCCCCCACCCGCGCCCGCGCCCGCGCCCGCAGAAGCTTTATGCAGCGAACCACCTGCACACGGTGCTGCCTTGTGCGAAGCCTCCTGGGTGACTGTAACGGGGGTTTGCTCGAGCATGTCCGAGAGAACGATAAACTGACCAAGGCCGTTCATGCGCACATGAGCCGCCATTTGAAGGAGAATCTGCGTCCACTGCGGGTCCACTACCGTGAAAATCCGCCGCCTTGTATCCACATCTAGCTGCTTCAACCATGCGTGAATCAGCTCCTTAGGCGAACGCGTGGGAGGAATTCTGACAGCGTTAGTAGTCGTTCCTGTACTGGTCCCTCTTATTGACCGTCTCTGACGTGGTTCCGCCTGGCCCGAGACCCTCGCAGCGGAGGAATTGGATGACAACGACGCGCGTTGAGACTCGCGACGGCATGCGGTGCGGTGGAACGCGCCGAGATGCTCCGTTAGCGAATCCAGCAGCTCCTGTGTTTCCGCCATGATGGTCTCGGAGTTTGCCTCGGAGGAGGAAAGCTTGAGACGTTAAAAAACACATGTGTCTGGTCGCCTGATGGCGAATTTTGAGTCGACTCAAAAATCGCTCAGATGTTCCGTCAGCGCAGCTAGCAGCTCCTGCGTTTCCGCCATGGCGGCGTCTCGGAGTCGACTCGAATGAGAACACGAAGAGAGCGAGCAGGAGAGGGGACGTTGATCGGGGAGCGGGTCAAGGAGACAGAATTCAGCTCGTCGTTCAGTTTCAGCTGGTTTTGTGTTTTCTAGGACACGTTTAGCCGTTCGCTAACAAATACGTCCGCTACAATCGTAGTACAGGAACAGCCGGAAAGAGAAGGTGACGGCCAGAAACACGTGTCGTGTGTGTAACACTCTGCTTCTAGCATAAACTGCAATAACTGGTACTAAAACTCTGCCCTCGGCATTCCATCTGAAAAGTCGGTGAGACTGTGATGGTGCTCTGACACTCGACTCTGTTCTAGGAAGTGCTTGTGCTTGTTGTCGAACAGCAGATGATGACCCCAAGAAATGGATATCGCTCTGTCATTGCCCAATAAAGGGGATACTGAACAGTGAAACAATTTCCCGAAATGAGGAAACCATGTCACAACAATTGCAGTTTCCTCTTCTACCCAAAGGCATACGGTACTTGTGTAGGTGCTCTGATGCTTGCTTGGCAAACATTGGTGGTGATATCCGACAATCTGTTTACTGACATGAAACAAGCATCAATTTATTCCAACACCTAATTCAACACTTCTGAGAGCTGTTACTTCAGAAGAAGTCCAACATTTTGAGAAAAAAAATTGCGCTAATGCCACCAAAAGAAAGTTAAATCAAAGGCTCAACTTACCATCTCTCATCATCCAAGGCAACACTGGAGGGGTAAGAGGCATATAGGTTGTGTTACGAATAGTAATACTTGAATATTACTGTGCACTCCTCACCGCATCAAAGAGAAGCACGCAGTATCGCGAATGAACGCGAAGCGTCAGACGGTTGGAATCGACTCGAAGCGTCAGACAGTTGGGACGCATCTGGACCGTCGGAGCAGACAGCATCAGGCAGCTGCAGGCAGGATGGTTTCGGCGGGAACAGTTTCGTAACTGTTCGCGCCGCACGGTTGGGAATGTATTTGAATAAGGGAATGTACCCCTTAGAGTACATGGCTAGCTATGTCGTTTCATCTCCCCTGTACTCATATTTATATTTGCTGTATTTGCATGTTTTAAATCATCTCAAAGCATTTTACATTCACTCTGCTATTGAGGTCAAGGGCCCACCAACATCACTTCTCTGCGTGCGAACCTTCCTGAGTAGATCCTAGGCCACGATCAACTTCTGATCGCAGCAGGTTGGAGCAGAACTACAGCACCCCTACCCTTTCTATTCATCTCTTTCTCTCCCCCTTTTTTTCCTTTTGATACCTCTCCCTGAGCCATGTGTTGAAACAATCGAAAGGTTATATAAAGCATTCCCGAAGCTGCTCCACTGTACCAGTACCGCAACAGCTCATATAGAGCATGCGGAATGTCGGGGGTCACCCGAAGAACAACCGTCTGAGGAAGTCAATGGTCGTGACATTTGACGATCCAGTAACCGCGCGACAGTTAATTCACTGCAACATGGTAATTGTCGAGGATAGCAATAGTCGCGGTTACTGTAGCTATGCAATACAGTTAATAAGTGAATGTACCCCTCAGAGTACATGGCTAGCTAGATTTCTATTTAAACCCTTGTACTCCTATCTTTCAAATCATCTTGTTCTCTTTCAATTATTATTCAACAAGGTCACTACAGAGACTCCTTTGTCTCCTCTCAGACTTAACAGATCCTATCATATCTACTGGATCCTTTGGTTATATCAGCATGGTATGAGAGCAAGAGTAGATTATAAGATCTGCCAAGTCCTCGTTCTTCCTAGAACAATCTCATTACAAACTTACTCAATACATTTCTAAGCCTGCAAATTATAGCTCCTGAAGGAAAAGCCACTGCAGACTCACCGGGCCCACCACCAGCAACGACTAACGCGCCCTCAGCGATGACCTCCGTCAGCGCCGCTGTCGTTGAGGAGCTAGTCGCACGCATCAACGCCCTTGAAAGCCATCAAGCAATGAGCATTGACGGCTCAAGCTATGCACGTGGCGTTGCTGGACTCCCTCTTCCTGGAGAAGACCGCCGCGTCAACTCCGAGAGATCTTTCACCTTTTACAATCGTCAAGGGTCAGCTCCTGCACAAGACAACCCACAACGCTCACAGTCAGACATCGCTTCAATGCAAACCAAATTTGTATTGACTTCAAAATTGAAGACCTCAATCTCTTTCGACGGAAAGGATTTTTACACGTGGAGTTTTGAATTTGAGCTTCTCGCGACAACCGCTCAGATCTGGATGTACTACGACGGAAGCCTACCTTTTCCTTCGGAAGGCACCATCCAGGAGAAGCGTCAATACTACCACGAATCACTCCTCGCGTACACCGCTCTCTTTCGCAACCTCTCACCTGAAGAACAGCTTGGCATTCGTCCTTATAAGACGGAGTGGGCTCCCGCGCACGCGTCTTGGGAACACCTGCGCAACTCATACATGGCAACAGATCCAGTTACGATGAGTCGTCTGCTCAGCCAGCTAACATCGGTTAAAATGAAGCAAGGGGAGAAAGCGGGACCGTATGTCAACCGGTGCCGCAATCTGCGCGACCAAATCAAGAAATGCGGTGGGACTATCCCCGACGACATGTTCATCTCGATGGTCATCTCTGGCCTCGGCCCCGACTGGCGACAGTGCCAATCACTCCTTCGCGCCCGAGCAACCATATCGGAGTCGGCTCTTTGTGCCACGCTTCTTTCGGAGCAGAAGGAGATCGACCTGTACAACGAGAAGAATGTTAAACGAGAGAAATTAGTCTTCTACACAGGAGCATCACAAGGGGAGCAACGCGGAAAGAAGGGAGCAAATACTGCAAGAAGTCTGGCCACACTATCGACCAGTGCTACAAGCGTCAGGCCGCTGATGAGCGACGCAACGCCTCCAACCAACAACAACCATCGGCACAAACAAAGCCCTCCGCCACTGTGTCGCCTTCTTCCGTCGCCAGCACTTCTCAATCTCCTACACTCATCACGGCAAAGGACAAAGGAAAAGGGACAATCATAAGCTGCATGGCTCGTCGCAACAGAGGGTTCCGTTACTGGGATCGAATAACATTCGCTCGCGACAATCCCATCAACCCTGTTGCGCCCAGCACAGACAATGACCCAACAGCCTTTACTTGGTCCTCTCACCCCTCAGACATTCCTCCTGACTTCGAGCTCCCCCCTCCTACTCCGGAATCGCCGCCGAGCATTTCCGCAAACAGATATTTCGCCCTCTCACCGTATGCCGGCGACCTTGATCGCATCGTCACACCCAAGATCGCCAACCTCGCCCGTCAGCGCTACGAGGATCTGGACACGTGGTACCTCGACAGTTGCTGCGGGCAACACATGGTGGGATCGCCAAAGTTTATCAGCAACTTACGGCGTATGCAATGGCCCTGCGAAATCACCGCCGCCAACAACGGAAAAATGAAGGCATATGAGATTGGCGAAACCTACCTCGAGGCCAATGACACGAAGTTCACCATTCACATCGGAGACGTCCTCGTCGCACCTGACCTACAATACAATTTTCTCTCGTCAGCGCAACTCATGCGGTGCGGAATCGACATTCGCAGCAATCGAAAGGAGAAGACCTTCGAGCTCTTCTACAAAGAAACTTACATCGGAAAGGCGATCGATGACGACAGAGTCTTCGTGCTGCAATTTTCAGCTCAGGGCACCACCGGCGATTCCCACCGCACACTGCTGCTAAAAACAACTCCCACAGAGCCACCAACATGGACACATCCCAACGAGATGGATCTCGAGCAACCTGCCTCCGACGGCCTCCTGCGCTTGCGCACAGTCCCAACTGCCTCGACCTCCAACCCTGCAGAAACCGGACCTGCCACAATGGAAGAAGACAGCGGCACGTCAGAACCTGCAACCGAAGAAAACAAGACGGCGGAGACACGCTGGACGGGCTGGAACACTTCCGAGCCCGCGCTCGGGTCCTGGGGAGAAGTTTTGACTCCGGAAGAAGCAGCCGCGAGCAGGTGGGACGCCTTTTCAACGGAAGAAGAAGTTGGCGCGACCGGCCGGGGGACTTCCCCTGCCCCAGCAGAGGAAGCTGGTACAACAGCGGGAGAAGCAGTCGGAGAAGCAGTCGGAGAAGCAGAAACAGCTGAAGTCACACGGGGCGCCGAAGGAGGATGGAGCACCTCGACCGAAGCAGAACAAGGGCACACCGAAGAAGCTGGTTTTCCTCCTGCGGAAGTCGCCGTCATCGACCCATACTGGGCAACTCGCGGCACCTGCTGGGGAGGTCCACCTCTCCCAGATCAATACGCCCCTGACACACCCGAACCAATGCCAGAAGAGTCAGACGAAGAAGAGACCTACAAATTAATGGGAGAACCAACGGAGTTACCTGAACCCACCGAAGAGCCGGAGCCGCCAGTACAAGGACCACAAGAAATTGAGGTCACCGGCGCTGAATACAGTTACTTCAGAATCCCCATGACGGGACTCGCAGTCCGGGAGTGGCCCAACCAGTGCCTGCTCGTCAC